GGATCATCAACCCATTATAGTCCCATTGTTCAGGATGCCGTGGTGAATTCATGGGTTCTCCGGCCAAGCCATCAGTTGTAGTCAGCTGCAGCTCATCTGGTCGAATCTGGGCATCACAGCCGAATTCCACCCCACCCAGACTGGGCGGAAAATCCAAGCGCGCAACAAGCTTGTAGCCCCTACTTCGGGTGGAATCCCAGTCAATTCATTGGAAAATCTGTAGGGGAAACTGCCTGCCACCGGATGCAGGAGGAAGGTTTCTCAGCTAGCTGCACCAATCAGCATTCTCTCCTCAGAGCCGCTGACGGCCTTCCAAACCAAGCCAGCTTAAGGCAAAGCAAACAGGTCAACTCATGGTCAACTCAAAGTTCACGGCGCGCACCTGTGCCCAACCTTCGTTGTCTGAAAGTCGAATCCAGCCATGATACCTTGTGGGATCAGGTGCTTGGTGCCATTGACAAAAAACATTTTCCAAATATATTTATCTCTAACAGCTTCCTAAGTAACAGGCATGATTGATGCATTGTATGGGCTTGTAGCCTCCTTAGACTTTCCTTGATTGGTTTGTCTTTTCCTTGGGTTTCCTAATCCTTCGTTTCCCTTTGAAACTTTGAAACCAAAGGAAACCAAAGGAAAACCATAGAATCCACCCAGCCCCAAACCAAAGGAAACCAAAGGAAACAAAGGAGGAAAAATGAGATCATCTAAGAAGAACTGATTGTAGCTAGTTCCTTTGTGTCTCTTGTTGTTTCTGGTTTCCTCCCACAATTATAACACCATATTTTGGTGCAATCCATGCGTTGGAAAGGTTGACACTGCTAGCTTTCAGCCATACATGGGTGGAAATGTGGAACACCTGTTACAGAAAACGCACTTGTACTGGTACTGACAAGGGGAAAAGAAAACAGAAGAAAACACAAGAAAACCACTGGTTTTCAAAGGAAAGGGTAGGGTGAGCAGAGGAGAACATTGAATCATCTAAAGAAGCCCTGCTGTGAAGAATGCATGTTCCAGTGATGTTACTAAAGGGTTCCTATGAATATCAGCATGAGCCGCAATATCCCCTCTTCCAGCAAGACTTGGGAAAATCAGGCAATTATGACCTACATGCGAATCAGTTTGGCACCACTTAGCTCAATGAAATCATGTCCGAGGCTGTCACCAGCATGCTACGCAGATCCCCGGGCCACCCAACGTTTGTGAGTCTGCCAGTAAGAACTCGCCAAAGCTCCTGGAATGGGTCCGAGAAGGCTCCCCGTGAAGGACACTGAAACGCACGCCATCATTGCATGCTCGCTTCAAGATCGTCAAATGTTTTTTTGTTGTTATCATGCGTTCAGAACCTGCAAAAAACATAGCTACCCTATACTGGCAATATCTTGAAACCACAAGACGCCCGCAGATGCCTGCAATCACTTCAGACACACAGGGGTAAGGGATTTCTTGTCACTAAGGCTGGTGAACTAGATTTGGCCACTTTAGGCTCAGCACAGTCCTTCTGCCAAGAACCAATGCACCTTCTACTGGCTCCTGCCACAATATGGGCCATGGCATCCAGGAGCCCAAACTGGCCAAAATTTCGGCTGAAACATTGAGGGGTGCCGGACCCCAGTCGCACCTGCAAGACATCCACACCATCATCCGCAACCACCTGGATCAGGGTCTGGTTGGACTGAGCTGTGATAATCGCACCACCAAGCCCATGCAGCCATACAGTAGCACTCTGCTTTGTGTCTTCTTAAGCATTTCTGAGTGAACTTCTAGAGCTGCTCGAGCCCGCCTCCAACATCTGCCGACCAGGGGTCTTTGCCAAGGTTGGCACGGCCATTGCCTGGGAGCTGCAAACCCATAGGGCTTCCAAGGTTTGAAATTTCTAAAGGTAGCAGGCAGGAATGGCCATAGAGTCTAAGAAGGGGCCCACTCTGCTAATGGCCAAGTTTGCAACCTGCGACTACCTTATTTCCTTCATGGGGCAGCCTTTCAAAGACGATGCCAAAAAAGATGCAGTGCAAGTTTGCAGAGCTGGGAGCTGCGCTCTTGGTTTTTCCAAGGCCTGCCCATGCTAGGCTCATGCTGGAAAGGAACCGACAAAGCGAAACAAAAACTGTAAACACAAATGTCACACTCAGCTGAAGACTCTGGTTCGCGTGGGCCTAGGAAACGTCCTAAACTGTCAGAAACCCAATGATCCCCCTGACAACAATATGACCCAGCGATGTGGGCATGGGTCAAAATAGCCCACCCCATCCCACCCCTGAAAAGTTGGATGCTTAGTTATAGCAGTTTAATCCTGAGGATGAGGATGATGGTTGGGCTGGTGGCTGCGATGTCTTGACACTGCCTATAGCATGAGCACAGCTAACACTGCTCAGAACTCAATGCCTCCAAGCACTTCTTACTGAAGGGGGCTTCTTCGGCTCCCTGACATGCCATGACATGCTCGCAACCGCACTGTAGCTCCAATGCATTCCAATACTGCCTACAGGGCCTACACATCTTTTGATGAACAAATCGCAAGCACTCCCTAAGCTCGACAAAACCCAAGCTCGACCTGGCACATCCATCCTTCATCGCCAGCCAGCTTCACCCAACCTCATGTTGGATGGGCCTTCTGAGAGCCCACCGCTTGCCACTTGCTGCTGTTGTTGGGAATCATTGCTCTTTGAACTGGACAAACTGTTGTCTCAGCAGAGCTTTGGTTTCGCAGGAAACCATGGATGCCTCCATCAAACTTCTGTGGCAAATGCTTTGATTATCATTGAGCTGAGTTGGCAACCGTCAAATGTCTCCTGTTTTGCAGCATGGGCGAGAACCACACCCACAACTTCCGAGTACTACAGTGGAGGCGGGAGGACTGTCGTAACAGGTCTGCAAGACACAGACCCGCGAAAATCTAATATATATATATATACACATTTTTTTCCCTCTCTCTCTCTCTCTGTGCACGTTGGTGTGCATTACACGTTGTACTATTTTCATCTATTTCTTATATATAGAACCGATAATAACTACCTACAAAATATTTTTTTTAATATTTTGAGGTTATGGTCATCACGTCATGCACTCCTCCACCGCCCGGACGGTCTCGTGCTGCTTCCGGCCGCCGCAGACCAGGGCTCCAGCACAAGGCCTTGGAGGCCCAACGTGGAGGTTTCGGCAGTGGATGGATTGATGGGTTGATGATGGTCGATGATGGTTGCCTTTACCCTCTGGTAAACTAACATAGCTATTGAACATGGTCATTTATAGCGAGTTTTCCAATTAAAAAATGTGATTTTCCATAGCTATGTTAGTTTACCAGAGGGTAAGATGATTCAAGATGATTCAAGCAGGTGATGATATATGTGATGATATAAGTGATGATATATGTGATCATGTCGACGTCAGTGTCGCGTCATCCAAGATCTTTCATGTTGGTGGTGGAGATTGTGGGGCACATCCCCAAGTCCGGTGGCAGTGCAGAAAATGAACCATCATGCAATCATCTCTACCACCTAAATTTGTTCTCAGCTTTGGTGCCACATGGTACCGTTCTCCAAATGCCTTGAGATTTTCCACAGTGCGCCAGCATGATGCGTCTCACTGCTTTGATCGACGAGCAGCACTGGCTCTCCGGATGCCGTTCTATCTGCCAGTTTCTCTGGCCATTCATTGTATGGATTTCGGGAACATTAACGTGCAAAAAGATTGACATAGATCTTCTGGATATTGTGGATATTGTGGGATCATGGTTTTCGAATACCATCTTTTTCTAGGGCAGCGCTATTGAATCTTCCTCAGGCTTGTCACGCATTCCGGTTTTGTGAATAGATGCTGCTCGGACGGGCAACTGGTGCCTCCTTGAGACTTCCAGTTTTGGCATCTGCATGAAGTGCTATTTCTGTTTCCAGATGCTGCAAGCATGTCCGCCATTAACCAGAAAGGCATTGACTATAGTTCGCTATAAATGACGCTGGCTCTGGTCCATTTGCTGCAGAACTGTCTATCTTATCTTATCTATTTTCCACATCACAGCACGCAAACAGAAGGTGGTGTAAAAACGATGAAACTAGCAGCTTGAGATCATTGGAATCTTCTTGATGAATCTTGCAGCGTTCCAGCAACAGCTTGGGCGAAGCGCATCTCTCCGAGATTGCTGGGCCATCCGAAGCTTAAACTTGAAAATCTCTCAATTGCCCCATTGTTGATGTGCACCTGTGACTCTGCTGAAAGGTAAGTTCCGCGGATGTCTTGTCAACAAGACGAAGCAATTGGCTTTGCAATCCGCAGCGATGCACAGCCATACCACAGCAATCCAAAGTACGGTATTTAGATGTGTTTAGTCAATGAGTTTCAAGATGTTTCAATCACATGCCATCAACAGTGAAGACTCTGAATGCTGCTGATGTCGAATCGGCTCCACGAAGCGGTGAAACATGGCCACTGAGCCATGAAGAAGTCACAGTACACCTATATAGTGGTATCCTATCCCTTTCTGCTGGTTGATTAACGGGTGTCCCATTGTGGGATGTCATAATCCTCAACAAACCAGGTAGAATAGTTGCCTGGCACAAATATGAACCATTCAACAGGGGTATTTTCAATGGTTCAAGACGCATGAGGCGGCCTTCAAATTGAGCCAATGGGCGGCTTACCATGCTCCCTGATCACAGCGCTGCTATCTATTCCTTGGGCGCAGCATGGGCCCAACAAAGAAAAAACAATTCTTCCCTTCAAAGCTTCTGCTGTAATGGCCCTTCTAAGTCCTCAGCTCTCCTCCCAACTTCATAGTAGTTGAACAGTTTACCTTTGTGACCGATCATTCTGATCGTGCTGAACCTAGGCTGATTTCAAGCCAAGCAACAAGCGCTCCTTGGTTTATCACCGGTGGGTGCGAGACAACCCCACCAACAGTTGCAAGAATCTAGGACAATATGCATCTCCAACTGAGGATGTGATTGGATCTCTCTGAGCCCTGCCAGGGTAACAGCAAAGTTGTTCAACAACCTCATTTTGGCACCTCATGGACAAGATTCCTCCATTCTCTGCTGCTTGATCACAAGATCCTGCAAGGAAAGACACGGAAAGGGCATGAAAGGGGATTCTCCAGCATCTGCTGGAAAACTTGCTACTGTAAATGCCAAAAAGACGGACCATTGCACGAACAGTTGTTCAGATACAATACGTTGAGAATTGTCCCAATGGCCTGAATACATTTAGTGTAATCTGACAGGATGATGATCGGGGTGATTGCGACAGCCCTATATGGAATTCTTCGCCGTGTCTGACAGCTTCATACCATGGTTACCATGGTGCAGTTCAACCATCTCCCCGTTCTCACAGGTCAACGTCACAGGCCAATCCTGCAGTGTATATGCAATGCTGGTGAGGTCTGAATCGGGATCAGTTGCTCGTCCCCAGTTGCCTCAGTGGCATAGCATCAAGCAACATCTTCCGTGGTGGATGTGTCGTAACAAATGGAAGTAACAGCTGCCAGTCAGTCCCAAGCCGAAGTAATATATGATGATATGCGATTAAAAAAAACTACAGTACTGACAGTGTCGAGCAAAGAATTTGCAGAAACTAAGCAGTCTGGAACCAAATTCCTATGCTTTCCTCTACTTTCTATGGAACTTTTTTCGATGTCATTGAAATTAGCTCCACTCCGCCCAGGCGCCGCCGGTCATTTCTATGCGGCATCTCCTTGGCTTAGAACGTTGCACGCCAGCATTCTTTGAACTCAACTTGGAAGCTGCGGGCAAAAGAGTATCATCAAAATTGTCTGGATTTTCCAAGTATCTGCATAGACTATAGCAATATATATATATAATTACATATGTCATGCAATAATCTCAATCATTATTTTAATTACGCATTAATCCACCGACCTGCATCAAGGCCATTTCGGAACTAACCATCATTCCAAGTATGCATATTTTTTTCTCCCCCTGAGAATGAAAGCAGGAAAGCTGCAAAGCGCAAAGGGGGCTGGGCACACCAGCAAACTGACAAAATTACTCCATGAACAATAGTTTCCCTCTTCAATCATTCCAAGTATGCATTGGCATCATTGTACTCTATTTCTTTGACGGTGCTTTGGGCCCCGGATTGCCCAGTTGGCTTCCAAGGTTCCCCTGGCGAAACTTCAGCTGACACCGCGAGATGCATGTCACGAAGACGAAGCGGTTCCGCACGGCTGAGATGAACTCGCCCATGTCGGACAGATCCACGGGCACCAACTGGACCCACAAAGAAGGGCTCAACATGAGTTGGGCTAAGCAATGTGTACAAGTAGTAACGGGTAGTACCGTAGGTGTCAAGGCAGCACCGCCAATTCTTCAACAGAAGGCAGTGTTGCACCAATTCTTCTTGGAAGGAGGTTGATGGTTTTGAGGTGGACAAGAGCATGCTATGTGTGAAATTCTCTTGATCATATCCTGCCATTTCAATCCATTTCACACTTATGCCCGCACTATCCCTTGCGGCGCTTTTGGAGCGACAATCACACAGACCACCAAACCACAGCACCTCGCCTTTGGCAGGTTGGGGTTCATCGCCACCTCATCAGAGGGCGGCATTCTTGAGAAGGTAAATCGTACCATCAGGGGCCTTCATTTAAATCTGCGGAGTTTCAAATTTCAATCTGCTGAGCTGGGTTGCAAAATTTCAGCAGGTTGGCTCCAGCCCCTTGAAAGTCTTACCTTAAAGGGGGGCCTACTTGCTGATGTGGCCTTCTTGTGTTGAACACGGCTGTGACATCAGCGCCTTGGTGCGCAGGCATGCCAGGAGGTCTGTCAGAACATCAAGAAGGCAGGTCAAGCCGATCAAGGGGTTGGCCTGCAGCATCTGCAGCTGGCTGAAGAAAAGAAGAAATCTGTAAGAATGGGACTAGTTTGCTCACATTCTCACCTCCGCACTATGTCATACTATGTTAACGATTTACCAGTCATCTTTCAAAGCTTCCAGCTTGGCAATACCATCAAGTGCAATTACTGACAGAAACTCAGAGGGACAGCCATGCGAGAATGAAGGTCAATCCACGGCCCACTTCTTGGGGCTTATCACCCCCAGGTCTGGCCTTTGCATTTGCCACGCAATTTGGCAAAAACTCCAAGTTGAAGGCTTGCTCCTCGTGTGAGCGATGCATACTGACCAAAACCGCACCCACAATCGCTGCTGTGCTTTCTTACTGCTGTTGCAGTGCTGGTGCTCTGGACCGCGCCAGCTAGTGTGGCCCTCATGTCAACACGCAGCACAAAAAGAACAGTCAGCATAAATCAACTTCCTTGATGCCGTCGGCAAGAAAATGATCCGTCAAGGACGATCGTTCTCTCTCCCCCAAGGCCAGCCAAGCCAGCCGCAGCGATTCATAGCCCTTCTGATCCTGCGATGGAAGGCATAATGTTTCTCAAATCCACATGCTGCATGCCTGCTGATACAACGCAAAGAAAGGACATACTTACCGAAAAGAAGAGATACATAATATGAGATAATAGTAGAATGCTGCCCGCATTCCAATACAGAAAGATACCTACACTCTGCACAGCTGCGGGCTTTTCATAATCCCACCCTTTCATGGCCAAAGCTTAGCTGCAACCATCCCCGGCCCACCTGCACGCGTCCCAAGCAAGCCAAACGTACTAGCACTAGGTCCTGCAAGGTGGAAAATGTGAAACAACCATCTCCCAGAGTGGCAACGCAGAAATGACATGAAATGACATGGTGCATTCGTAGAACTCCGAAGGCAGTCGGCATCCCCATGTCCGGATTCTATACCAACGTTAATGAAGGGTTCGTCAGAAAAATGGATACTATGCCTATGCCTCTCTCAATCGCTTGAATGGTCACCTGCGTCAAATATTCATTGATGTTCAAAATTACCAAGCCAGGGACTTTCCCTCAATGCCTCGGGACTGTTGAATGGCAAGCACAACTTCTCGGCCCGAAGGTTGAGGTAGCCCCAGTAGATAGCCTGGGGTCGCCAGTGATAGCAAAACAACTGACGGGATTGGCTTGCGCCAATCTCGACAACTGAGACACGAATCAAATTCAAAGGACGCTCCATGCAAGGACAACGAATGCAAGCGCTATGCCCATCCCCTGATTCCAATCCTGTGTGCTAGTAGGTCGAAAACTAGACTGCTTCATGCAACCACTTGGTTAATTAGTGTTACTTGAGCAAGTAAATGGCAAATTTACGAACAATAGGTTGATTCATGTTGATTCTATATAAGCCAAATGGTGGCCTACCAACTATTCTGCTGAAGCCTTGTTCACCTTCGCTGCGTCCAAGGTGCTGTTTCACTGACATTCATCAACTTTTGAAGCACGCGGACGCCACCGATGGTGGCATCAGCATTCTTGGCGTTCATGAAGCGTGAGCCCTGACCACCGGCCAGCCCACTCATGAAGCCCAAGAGGAACAAAATGTAGACCCGGAAGAGCGCATCACCTGCCAAGCAGCTGCAGCTGGTGTTTCCTCCAGAAGGCTTATCATAGCTGATGGTGATGGTATTGCTTCACCGTCCGAAGGACTGTTCTTAGGGGAAACGGTTCTGTCACTGTTTCGTTTCGATGTATGTCAGCTTTCTGCTTGTGTGAAGGCGTGCATTTTTTTCCACCATGAATGTCATGATTGCCATGCCATGGTTACAGCCAGCAACCACAACCGCAACACCCCAAAAACCACCCAAAGAATCGATGGCCCCAGACCTTTCTCTGCAATGTGAGAGTGCAGCTCTTTGACATTGCCTGGGCAGTTCTCTCCTTGCAGCATCTGGGCCAAATTGAAGAGCTCGTGGGTCAACAACGCTCCTTCAAATAGCTCTGTCCCCTTCTCCGTCAACCAGCGGGTCGATGGCACTACGTTCTTGTGATCTTGGCAAGGGAAGGCGGAGGTGTTGTGCTTGGAAAGGGAACAGGGTTTAGGGATGGCAATGCTAGACCCTGTTCAGAAGTTAGAAAAGGGTCGAACAGATACATATCTGACAACTACTGGTCGCTGTCGAGTTTCTACTTCCAGATCTCTTGCATTTCATCCAAGCGCGTCTTGAAATGTCATGAGCACCCTTTGGGTGGTCTAGGTGCCTATGCATGACCCGAATCGTCATTTCTTTTGTTGTGCCTGTGCGCAGTTGGCTAGCTTGGATATTCCAGGATGGCCCACAAGGCGGAGGATTGAATAAATGTTGAAGTCTAACCCCCGTAATGCGCAAATCCAAAAACACTGGCACCATCCCAAACATGTTCTACTTTCTTAAGAAGGGACATGCAGGGACACTATTTTCTCCTCTCCAAGAGTGTTGCAAATTTTGCCCAGTGGCATTGACTGAGGTAAATCACTGCACGCTCTGGTCGCCGATGATCATGAGAGACCTGTTGTATCACTGCTTTGGACTTCCCCAGGCCACGGATCGCGAGCAGCACCTGGGCTCGCCTCCCCGGAGGGTGCCGATTCAAAGGGAAATCATCGCAAAAACTATCCATTTCAATTTAGCGGTCCAATGACTTGGGCCAACATGTGTGACTGAAGATGTGTAGCTACTTTTCAAGCTTCCAGGATATTCCAGGTCTGTTCCCCCGGCGTCTTCTATAGCTGTGCCAAGCCGTCAGGTGACGAGAACTGCATGAACTTCCTCAGGCTCAGGCTCCTCAGCAGGTTGAGCATCAAACATAGTTGAAACATATTGAAACCAGCAAGCAGAGTTTGTTGGTCATGAACTCTTTCGGCCATCCTGTGATTCTTAAATCAGTGCGCATGACTTGAATTGATTTAACAAACATCGCACTGTGCTGTGCATTCCCGTGGCTCCATGGTTCAGGATGGCAGCATTCAGCTCACTGATTGCTGGCAAGCATCTATCCAGGACACAATCTGTTGCAGTTCCAGCCATTGCGATTCCAAGAGCTTCACATTGTCAGCTTGTGGCTGGGTGAATATGTCATATCTGTTCCTGCGAGATCAAACACTTACACAACATCGATCGATTACAGTATATATAAAAACACTTGCAATGAATGCATGTGCGTGTGTGTGTGTGCGCGTGTGCACGTATGTATGTCCGTACTATATGTCTGACGGTCTCTCTGAATTTCTCTGAATGTAAATATTTATCCGTACGTGTATGTACATGCATACATTACAAAACTAAACACAGACAAGCACACACACACACACAAGCGCACACACACAGAGATAATGCCCCCGACGCTAAACACTAATGCTCTTGAAGCGTTCATGGGGCTAACTTCAGCTCTCTGTAGAAGCTGTCGATCTAAGAATTTAACGAACCACTGCTGAATGACAATTTGTGCAATTCAGACTCCTCACCAATGCCAGCACGCTGATGCAAGCTGACTCACCTCGGTCTCTTTCTGGGGCCTGGCTAAAGACCGCGTGTGCGCCATAGGTTTTGTCAAGCTCGGGTATCACTCCAGGAAGCTCACCAGGGAGGTCAAAGTTCACGTCCTCCTGCCAGGCGATCTGAAGGACTGGAGGCATCCGCAGACATCCCCGGACCCATCTGAGCACTGATGGAGGCGCAAATGGATCTGGCTTTTGCGGTGGTGAAACGAAGTGTAGCAAAGAATGCAAGTGATGCATATAGCGCAAGGACAAAGCAGAACCTACCAACTTATTACCCTAAATGTATTTCATTTTTAGAGCATGCGAGCAAGTACGCCCCAGCCTCAATTGGACTAATTACATCTAATTACTCTTGACATCTCTTGACTGTGCGATGGGCGCTCCACCTCACACCAACATGGCAGTCCTGATCGGTGTTCATCCACCTTTGAACAAACTCTCCAAGACCTTGATCCTCCAAGGTCTCGACTGCTGCTTCTCTCTGTATTCGTGCGAACGCGGAAAGCCGAGAGAGAACCTCAGTGCAAGAAGCGCTCAAATGGACTCAGCAGTGGAAACATAATCTTGGTACACGTGGTGCGCCTATTCATGGCTAGAGGTGTGATCACATCCATCGGATCTAGCAACCAAATAGTGGTGAGAGATGGTGAGGGTGTCATACATGTGATGGGTGTGCATGCACGCACTGTCTTTCACAAGAATGCGGATTTCCATGTGTCAAATCTTATCAAATATGGATTTGCCTGAAAATAGGCCACTTCTAATTCCCATGGGTTACTTGAAATTTCACTGTTCAGTGGCCATTTTTCAGGGTGCACCAAATCTTCTTTTCCAAACACGTGGCTGCACATCCCAGGCACAGTACGTTGCGATTGATTCGACTTGCTGCTCGGACGCCCTTTGGAGCTTGGGTCGGCATCCCCATCCTCCACCATTTCCCCGCTAAAACGCTCGCCACAAACCACGATGTTTGGGAACAAGGTCGTTGGATCAGGGTAAGCCGCCTGGCCGGTCAGAAATGGTCAGAAATGGTCAGAGATTTTGCTGCCCCAGTTCGTCAGCGAAGTTGGTGGAAGAATCATTTCACTTGTTTTGTTCTTAAATGTCTGACAATGATCATGTTTGTTTCATCTTACTGTGGGCCCTGCTAGCTCAAGTGTCCTTAAAGTATTGAACGATCGTCAGCACGGAATTTCTGTCTCCAATTCTTGGAACCATCTCCAATAAGCCATCCACCATCAACAAAAAAAATTGTTCCGCCAAACGCGTCTGACTTGACTCATTCCACACGTTTCTATCTACCTATATATATATATATCCATCCAACCATCTACTTCTCGATCTCTTTCTTTCTTTCTGTTATCTTTCCTTTTGTCATTTATCTATCTATTTAGCTGCCTGCCTGTCTATCTATCTGTCTATCTATCTGTCTATCTATCTGTCTATCTATCTGTCTATCTACCTAGTATCCATCCATCCGTCCATCCATCCATATCTATCCATATCTATCCATATCTACCCATATCTATCCATATCTATCCATATCTATCCATATCTATCCATATCTATCTATCTGTCTGTCTGTCTATCTATCTATCTGTCTGTCTGTCTGTCTGTCTGCCTATCTATCGATCTATCGATCTATCGATCTATCGATCCCATCCTATCCTATCCTATCCTATCTATCTATCTAATCTAATCTATCTATCTATCTATCTATCTATCTTATCTATCTATCCTATCTATCTATATCTATCTATATCTATCTATATCTATCTATATCTATCTATATCTATCTATATCTATCTATATCTATCTACATCTATCTATATCTATCTACATCTACCTATATCTATCTATGTCTATATCTATCTATATCTATCTATATCTATCTATATCTATCTATATCTATCTATATCTATCTATGTCTATATCTATCTATATCTATCTATATCTATCTATATCTATATCTATCTATATCTATCTATATCTATCTATATCTATATACCTGTATCCATCTAATCGATCTAATCGATCCGATCGATCTAATCGATCTACTCGATTCCATTCTAATCTAATCGAATCTAATCTTTTTCTCTCTCTCTCTCTCTAACATGTTACATACGATTTATACACGCACGCAAACCCACATATATTCACCATCCATGCGCATCACAGATGCCTGGAAGTGCTGGTTCTGCTTGCAGCAAACCTCACTCTGCTTCTTTTGATCGTCGTCTCCGAACTTACTCTTTGTCTTCTGCATTCCCGCGAGAAAGTCCTTTGCATACCTTAACGGCAAAGCACAGGGGCACGGGTTCTATCTTGCACAAACCGAACCACACACACACTGTACCTACGTCAAACTCGTGATTGGGAGTTCTTCCTATTCCTCAGCTAGTAACAAAGCCAGGACCGTCCGGCTTGCTGCTAGCAGCACGTTTCCTTAAAAAATCAGCCCCTTCTCCGTGCAGCCTGTGCGGAGACTATACCAAACATAAACACATCAAATATCAGCAGAATACAAAATGAACAAACCTAAACCCTTCAGCGGCCCATCTGCAAAATCCCAAAGCAAATCTTCCACTATACACATGCCAAGATAGCACAGCCTGGATTGTGGCGCAGTTGCTTTAGCTTTGCTGTGGCTGCTTCCAGGGACTTCAATGCCACCAAGCTGCTCGCAAAACATACCGGTGCAACCCCTATTGACTTGGATGCATGCGACCAAATCCTCCCCGCGCAGGCAAAAGGTCTCAGCAAAGCTGGTGGGTGTCAGTGTTGAACTGTGCCACACCGGATCAACGTAGAGACCTAGGCAGAGGAAATGGTGCGGCACGGGGAAACATGTGTTTGTACCGGAATGTAGGCTATACCCCACACTGATTCAAACAGGTAAGTGCATATCTAGTGGAGAAAAAATTTGCTCAACAACCCAATTTTGGGGTCCCATTTTTTAAACAAAACTCACATGTAAGCTGGAGTCTATGAGTCGTCAGGGTTTCTTACTTGAAGGCCTCCAGGACTTTCAGCACTTCCTGTGATGTGCATTTTCATTGATGTTCCATGGCCCGCTTTGGCCTTGATTGTCAAGATTTGACAGGGCTTCCTGAATGACTTAAAGATAATTCAAATGCATTTAGCTTTAGAACAAAATTAGAAAATATGTCTTATCATGCTTTCTGAAGGACTGATGAAAATGCGTCTTACTCTGCGTTTGGAAGCTATTGAAGACTGTAGGCCCCGTGTTTTGCCATGGATGCCCGGACGGGCTGTTGGACTGGATCCCAAAACTAGCCGAAGGTCTGAGCTCACCAAACCACCGAATGCCTTCCAACATCACTGGCGCTTGGTCTTCCTGCGGGCAATGTCCGGACATATCCAACATAACCCCATCTGTGTAATTTTCAAACAACCCATTTGGAACCCATAGTTTAGTATTGGATCTGTGCATTTTGGGGGCCCATGGGGGAATATAATTTACATAAATATAAATATATTAATATTTACTAATTTACTATATCTTGATATTGGGGGAAAGGATTGCCATCTGCCATGCTTTTTCGATCCTGAGCGTACTCATACTTGCCCACATAGGTCAAATGCAAGGCTGTGGCATAAGATCCTGCTGTGAACACAGGTTCGCCTGCCAGCCATTGCTCGACAGACTGCGTGGTAATACAACTTACAGTATTGCAACTTGCCCATGTAGCTCTAGGCAATAGGTTTGCAAATAATCTTCCTAAGTAATCCCAAGTACTCTAAGCCAAAACTGGTTTCCCCAGCTGAAGCAGCATCACGGGCCCATTTCACGACACACGCTGCGCAGCCATGAAAATGAGAGTGTTGAGCTTTCTACACCTGTCATGGATGACAAGCGCAAATGGTACCCAATATGTAAGGGCCAACAAAGTTGAGAAGTTTCCAGTCCCAAGCATTTGGAGAATCATTTAATACCGAGGAAAGTGGCGACACAAATACCAAGCAATACCTACAATCGAATCGGCAGGCCTTTCTCATAGAAATTCTTGGTGAACGCTGCGCAGATTGATCCGAAAATCTCCTGAAAAGGGGTCCCGGGCAAGGGCCAGCTTTGCAAGAAGTCAATCAGTCGATCCACTTTGATCATTCAAGTCATTAGAATAAATGCAGTGAAACCTAATGTTTTCCAAAAGGAATCTGGCTACTTTGTGAAGGCAGGTGTCCGGGTAGCATTCTTGGGCCAACGCAAATATAGGCATCTGAATCAAGTAGTCCGCGCGTTGGTTCACATATAACTCCAGTTGGAGAGTAGGAGAGATGAGCGACGTATCCATATTGTTCGCAGAAACCTTTTCCAGCTTGTAGTCCACAAATCGCATGATGCGCGTGACAAGTTCATACGAAACTGCCTTCAAGTGCGGCTGTTTGACCAAATTCCAGGTACCCAATGGTCCAAAATCAAATGGAACTGGCACTACGCGCCACAGTGCGCCACTATCATGGGCAAAACTCCAGCCCACCGAACCAGAAAAACGGAACAAATCAAGCGAGACCTAAATGGAAAAACCGACTGCAAGATCATGTGCAGAAAACTGCAGAAACACATCACAGAAACAGCAGAAGAAGCACCTTTTTTGGCAAGTCATCCCAGCTGGATTGGATTCCCTTCATCTGCTGAGAACAATTCCCCTGAGCCGTGCCTGGCTGGCCAAGTACAACCTGACCTCGCGCCTTCGACGTGAGGTCTCCTCATTCATCGCCCGCAGCTCTGCCATGGTGCCCGAGATTTTGCTGATTGCCTGTGTAGATGGGACGGGAGTGCCAGATCTGATGGCCAATTTCACACAGAAAATATGTGTGCTGAATGTTGCATAAGCCTATTTAGATCCATAACCAAGGCAATCATACAAGGTAAAATTATCACACATTTTCCATATCTCATGGAACATGGTTTATAGAGTCAGGCTCCAAAGTGAGTCAAGCTACAGAACCAATGACCACCAGCGTCACCACGCTGATGCCAATGTCCACAGCTCGCTCCTCAGAGGCGTTTCTGCCCTGCTGCGTCCCCCCCCAAAATGGATATATTATGTATATATAGATAGATATGTAACTACTATATGAGGCTATATGATGCGCGTGTCATTAAGTATCTCTATATTATTCTATATTAGCATGTGGCACATAGCGCACACACACACATAAATATATATGTATGTATGTATGTATGTATGTATGTATGATATAATTACATATAAGTATATATAATCATATAATTATAAAATTATATAACCATATATAATTACATGTATGTATTTAATGTAATGTAATGTCATGTAATGTCATGTAAATGTAATGCAATGTAATGTAAATGTAATGTAATGTAATGTATATATAATGTAATGCAATCTCTCTCCCTCCCTGTTCCACTTTCAGGTATGGCTAAGCGCGTCAAGCACATCACATACTAGATTTAAGATCTTTAAGATACAGAACCGAGTTTCTTCGCCACTAGCTGGATGAATCTCCGGAGGTGACGGCGCATTCAAAATCCAACGGAGCGAATGCAAGTATTGGATCCATCCTACAGGATTTCCAAAGAGTCAAAGACAAATATGTAACACACACACAGTAATATGACATAATGTCTGATAGATGGTCAATTGTGAATTGAAATGAAATACGATCTATGATAGGGAACGCTTGGAACACACCAATTGGGAGCTCTTCTGACGGCAATTTCAAGAGAGGACCCCCTTCAAAACACGTCCTGCCACGTCTTCGGCTCGATTTTCTTGAATCCAATTCGGAGTGGAAGCCGGCACCAGGAAGACACCAGTCCAATACCAGAAGCACGTCAACCAGTGTGCAACCAAAATCATGCCAACTCCAGTTTTGGTAATAGCAACCACCATTGTCACCCACTGTCGTCCCGCAGCAGCGGCACTTTCTTCGATCATGGTATTTAACTTGGACAGTTTGATGAGCCGAATTAGGCGCAGAACTCTCAGAATGCGTCCAGAGCGAAGCACCGCAAGGTTGGTATCGCCCAAGTTGAAGGAAACGAAGCTGTAGTCAAATCCGATCAGCACAAGGTCGAAAAGCATCCAACTTGTCAAGTAGAACCACCTGGTGTAAAAAGCTGCCCCTACATGGTCCCTTGTCTATAGAGGCTTGCTTGATCTTGCTTGCACGCAACCGAACTCATGCCGCTGCGCAAAAGACTCTTAGGACAGAACCTTTCCGATCTTTCGCGTGACACTGCTACATTGCAGCTGCTACATTGTTTCCCTGCTACATTGCAGCTGCTACATTGTGTCCCGAGAACACTCAATGAACAGGAGTTGTCAAAGGAGGAAAGCCGGTGGTCTGAACATTCCAAACCCAATAGCATCAGATGGTGGAGATAAAACTTATCATAAACAAAAAACGTGGGAATTTGTGTCAAACATCCTGTAGAAACCCCAAGTGAGGCTGAACTGCCGTCTGCGGTAAATCTGAGCCGAGATGCAAAATCTTGCGGCGACCTGATTGTAAGGTACCCTTTATATAGACGGCCGTGTTGAGATTGACCGGGAGATCCACGCTCCAAAACACCAGGCTGATCCAGAAGCTGATGGTCACATACGTGCCGCCAAGTGTGGGTGACGACATCGTAACATCCCATGCGAGGCTTGGTGGAATAGTTATGGCGTCGTTCAGCAGCAAACACAGCCCCACAATGTCCCAGCAAAGCTTTAACAAACCTCAGGAGAGACGGATAAGAGACATAACAATTCTTCTGGTGCTTCACCCTACGGGTACTTCATCATACATGCCTCAATTGCTTGTTCCTCAATGCATTCCAATTGTCGAACCAAGTCGGTTGGCAAGGATCTTTATATGACTGCTAAAGCCGTCACTCAAAGGACGCTCGTAGGTAAATCTGCTAATCTTTGCGTCTAGATGTCTAGATGGTTCTTCTTATTTGGGTTTATTTGGGCCCTTCGGCAGGTTCCACTTGATTTCTCGGCACCTTGTGGGTGGAACACCTGAATGCTTCGGCCCTTTCGCAGCAAGGCGTTCAAGTCATCTCTGGTGTTGTTCTCTGAAAAAGTTTTTCGGAGCTTGAGTGAAGCCGTTCTATCCTCGGTGGTCGACTGGGACACGTGGCACCCCTTGCAAAGCCATCGTTCAAGTCATTGGTACAACAGGGTTGCAGGCTGAAATGTTCCCGCGAAATAGCATTTATGATCATTTATGCAACACTGGTGCCATGTTCATGTCTCCCTTTCTTCCTCTTGATCGGTCCGTGTGAAATGGTATGAGAGCATGTCAGCGCTGAACTTTTAAACAAAGCTGGCGACTAGCAGGCTCATGAAACTTTGCCTTTCCGGATGGGTCCAACCAACCACTGACATGTCTGGTATCCCTTTGCTTCAGGGGATCATCCTGACAATTGGCCACCAAGCGTCCTTCACCGCTACCTCTGCCCCAGCCTGGGTCGACAGTTCCATCCATCGCCCATGTAGCCGGAGCTGAAGGTCACCTTGCGCGCCTGGCTGCGATATGAGGGCCACACCACTTTACCCGTTTTTGGTACCTAAAAATCTTGAACAGACTTGAACACGTGTTTTGAGAAGGTGCAGAACAAAGCTGAGAAACGCAATGAAAGCATATAGGCGCTCGCATTTTCATCTTTTTTTTTGGCTCCAACAACTCCATGATTGCAACTTCCCCGCTGGACCGTTTCAGATCGCCTGACCCACTGGCACGGCGGAAGCGTGGTTCTGCAGGATTCTTATGACCTTTCCGATGCTGGTGCAAGGTTAGTGCCGGTGGATCCTGGCAGCTGATTCTGAGGGGTCGTTCGCATTTCCATCGATGGGGACCTGTATCATGTCGGTACATGCATCATGCTGTAGAATGGTCCCCACAAAAGCTACCACGCGCTACCAACATTTCCTTCCCTACCCCTACTCCTGCCCTCCCTCCAACAAAATCAGTCTCCTGCAGGAATGATCCTACTGAACAAGCACTCAGGGTGTTCTGTCCAATCACTGCGTCACGCATTGACTGAAGCTGTTGCCCCACTGACGCCAATCGCTCGGAAGCCCCGCGCAACTCTGAATCAGCGCGATCGAGACACCTTGGCTCGATGCAGCCGAAAGGATACTGTAGCGCACATGTTTTCAATGGGAATTTCAGGATCCTAAAATTTAGGTTCCGGAAATGGCCATTGATGTTTGTTTTTGAATCTTCTCAAGTGTCTTCTGCCATGCCAGAAGTTGCAGAACTCTACGCACAGATCTGTCAACCCGCGAGTGCCCCTGCGAACATCACCAAAATATGGCAATCATTAAACATATTTATTCACCCAATCTCTCCCACATTTCAAGGTTCAATACCCGGTACCCATCCTCGTGGTCTCTTATGGTCTTTGAGACATTTGCGCCGGGCTGCTGAGTGAGTTCCTCCTTGGACGGCATCCCGGCCTCCTCGGTGACGCCGTTGGTCGGCACCGGCATGGCAGAGGCGCTAGGGTCGCATCACTCGCAGCGGTTGCATCATGGGTGTAGAACTTGAGCCGATCTGGGCATGGGGATGCCGCAAGGTTCCAAAAAGAAACCCCCGGTGACAAGGAGTTTCCGGATGTTCATGCATATCTGACCATTCGCTTCCCTCTCATGTGAAGCACAAATGGTGTATGTAACATACGACATCCTACCACAGTGCATCTGCAAATGTTGGTCCATGCAACTTGTGGAAAGTACTTTGAAAGAGACCGCCGCTGAGATTCCAAACTGCGAGCGAACGGGGTGAACCTGCGCAAGAGCTGCACCAAATTAAAGCTGAGCTGCACTTCAAGATCTTCAAGTGCACAAGTGTGGTGATCTGTCCTAGTAGAAACATCATAAAATGAGTTAGGTTAGAAGTGAACAATTTGCCTCTGCCAAGACTTTGAAACCTCTGCTGGGCAATGGCAACCTGACATGGACAAAAGTCACAGCCTGCCAGTGCTCGGAATCTCCCTATGGAGGGGTCTGACATGGTCTGACAAGTCTCCCAGGTCCCAAGACATGTCGGGTTGAAACGTCGCCCGGTCACCAAGTGAGTGGTCATCCCGATGGATAGGCCTGGGATCCCAGCGCATCAAGGACTGCCCGAACTTGGCAAAAATCATTGAACATCCAGACAGCACCAATTAAAAATAAGAAGAACATCTCAGAATGGTCCTAATTTATGGTCTATGGTATTCTATGGTCTAAACATCTAAATGTTGGCATCTTCACGTACCAAACAGTTTTCCTATATGATGAATTGACATCTTTTAACATATTTTCACCTACCACCTGGGTCACCTGGGCCCCGGCAACCGATCACAGCGTTCCAGGCGGGACCTGGGAGCCTGGCCATGGCTACATCGATTGGGTGAAGATTGACCGGCCGCGACCGCATTGGTAGGATTTTGTGGGTCACGCACCCGCACACACACACATATATATATACACATGTATGTGTGATTATATATGTATATGAATGCATATTTACCCCACTCCCATATGCATTAACAGAAATGCATCCGAATCGAGATGAGCAAGCAGAACACTCTGTCTTACGATGCTTGGCATCATCAAATGTCTTCACCACAGCAGAAGACAGCACCAGATTGATCATGTGGCAAGCAAATCATAGCCAAGGATTAAACTAGAACCAACCAGGTCTAAAGTCTTCCCACCTGTGTCTGAAGCTTCTTCCACCAATCACTGTTGCGATCGCGTTGCAACGCAGCTTCTGCAGCTGCCTAGAGTTTGATGAACAGCTGCAGGCGGGTGAAGCTTCTGCAGCTGTGGCTTTCACCAGCAGGCTGCCATATTTGCTGAACTAAGTCACTAGCCCTTTTGAGACATATATGGAAGGATAGATGGCTGAAGGCGGGCCTAGTTTGGAACCATATTATGACTTGACTTGTGAATGCTAATTGTTTCAGTCGCCTCGGAAGCAGACCCCGAGAAACCCAAAATGCCTCTGCGGCTGCCTTGGATGCCGCTTCGTCCTCATCCACAGGTTGCCTCAGAAACCACTCGCTTGTGGCATAAAAATTACTGTAGCTGTCTGGCAACCCATGGCCAACATCATAATCTTGGCTATCTTGGCTGTTTCAGGCCTGGCTGTTTCCCTTTCTCTCCTTTGCCGGTTTGCGAATCGCCTTTTCTGCAACAACTCAACAAAACCTAGGCCCAGTGGCTGGCTAATTTTCCTTGGAGGCTTGGAAGATACCGACATTTCGCTGTGCCTGGCTACGGGCAAAGCAAAGGTCATCTTCGTGTAACCAATGTAATTGATTTGTAATGGCCTCTGACAAGTCCAACAACAATCAAAGACATGTAGCCAAATGTAGCCAAATGTAGCCAAATGTAGCCAAATAACAAACAGCACCACACAAAGCACCAGAATCCACGATTCACGTGCGCACATGTGGCCATCAAATGTTGCAACATCACGTGTCCCCGCATTCTGGCCTTGGCCCTGGTGTTGGATCCTGTTTAGGCTTCTGCCTGAGCCCCAAAGCATTCCACAACTGACTTTCCACAACTGACTCTCGCTTCCCGTCTCACCTGAATGGATATGGAAGAGAGGCCCGGAAGCCCAACGTCACCGATTTGCAAGAGGAAACATCTTCTAAATTCTTCCAAACCTTTTCCGTGTTCTTTTCCTGCGGAACACTTCCGGCCTGGCAGTGGCAGCGGGACTCTGCTTCGTCACCTCAACCTCAGCCGCAGCCATAGATATGTCACCAAAATGGACTGGTCACGCCAGTCATGGATCACTTTGACGTTTACCCAGGCTTGGTTGCAAAGCAAATATATCGCTTTATTTCATGGACGCCAACCACTGCTATATGATGGGCGCAATCTTGTTTTTTTTTTACATGTGTTTTTTCAATTGCAGCTTTCAGCAAGTCAACCTGTGCAGAACTGCTGAAGCTTGACACTTCGTAAAGGCTTTCAGGAGCTTGTTCGCAGCAAGGGCAGGCACTCAATGCCTGAGATTGTGAATGCCAACGGAACGCGCAGGAATTTGGGGAAGCATATGTTGCGACATTGCTGGAATCTGGTGCTATCTGGTGCTGTTCAACAAGACCCTGACCTTGGACAGCTCAGCTGAAGTGGAAATCACGGAGCATTCGGCATTCACAGTTGCCTGCAGCTGCTGCTCAAGGTCATCTCGAAATGGGGTACTACAAGCTGGCATGATGCGGGCGAACTCGTGCTTATGCAGCTTGAATTCTAGATGCCTTAGCCTTAGATGCATTGATTTTACGTACATAGACATAATCTACATCTATTTTTTTGGGTTTAGATGACCAATACGGAATTTCGAATGTCATATTTGGCTTCATTGGAGTAATGTTAGCCCAGGATGATCAGCATGAAACTCAATGGCCAGTTGATTGATGGTGGGGTGGGCTTCTTTTTTATTATAACGTTAGAACACAACGTTTGGAATAACCCATTGGTAACCAGCCCAAATTCAGAGTCACGGCTTCTCTCCAGTCGCCGAGGTGCTCAGCCACCAGCCCTTCCTAAAGCCGCCAGAGGTTGTCTTTTCCTCCAGGTCTCAATGTCATCGGCTGGTGGAATGTGTCCCTCAAAGGCTATGGATGCTATGTGTAGTTTCAATATGTGTTTCAAGCACGTCAAAAAGATAGCAAGTTTCATGTGACATAATTCCAGCAAATTTAAAGTTGTCAGCAACCCCTTCTCGCAGAAGGGTGTTCTTCTTTGGTGTTTTGTCACTGGGTATCCGCTGGTGAAACATGGTGAAACTGGTCTCCTTCAGGCCCATCTTTTTGGTCAGTTTTCCAATCAGGTCACAGTGGGCGACCACGACCTGGACGAAAAAAGGAACGCGTCCCAAGGTTGCCACGGCACCATGCGATTGAAGGTTCACTGTTTATTAAAAAATGCAACTGATATGGGCTGCCGACTATTTTGCTTTCAGGCACTGCAGCCAGCTTTTCGATCAACAACGCCACGCGGCTGTCAAACACGGCTTCATCTGCGTCCTGGATGATCATGATGATCTTGGATGTGCTTCCCAGTGGTCAAGGAATCCACATAAGAATCATAAGAATCATAAGAGGTTTTTTTTTGTTCAGGTACGGTATCCCATTCATAAGTTATTCATGGATTGTAGCCATAGGTCTCCTCAAAGGCATCTTCGTCGTCCTTGTAGGCATCCTTCATGGCATCGCCTCGGTCATCCCCTTTGTTGAGGCCACGCCATACTTGGATGTGCATTTCAGTTATAATGAGTAAGTGGTTTATAACTTATAACCATATATCCATATATACAGTAACTGGGAATATTCCCTGCAGATATTGGTGTATACTGGGGTCCAATATAGTTATTACTACCCACTTAAGTGGGACGTACCGCTTGCTTGGCGGGTGGCCATCCGCTGGGAGGTTTTGATAGGCCGCGGGCACAGTCCACCAAACCTCTGGCAGAAGATTGAGCTGCTGCAGATGTGGATATTTCTCGAGCAACCTGGCCCGCAACAGGGGATAAGCACAGGGATGAAAAACAAAAGCAACCACAATTCTGGGAGTACTTTCAGTAGCACATTGAATCATGCTCACAAACAGGGGCAGCAAGCTTGGATCAACAATGCTGCGACAATCCTCTTTTTGGGCAAAAGGTCTCCAACATTTCTAGGCCTAAGTGTGCTACAGGGGGCGTTGCTGATCAATGGACTGTTTCTTTTCCTCTTACCACCCCCCAGCTAGCATAGATACTGCATTCTCCTGCCAAATAGGGGGTTGGGACATGCTGGAGCATGACTTTCCACTAAAAGTTGGCGATTTTCAGGGTCGAAGTTCTCATCAATTTACTGAAGGGTAAAGTCACCACCATCTTTTTGAGGTAACTGGATGGCAACCGTGCCACCATGCCACCTTTGGGGCGTGGACCCCAAATCATCGCAGCCGGTGATCACTTCCCTTAGCTCCGGCCAGACTTCCAAGCGCTCCAAGCGCTCCGCCGGAGCAAAGAAACGTGAAGGCCACAGACCTACCAGGTGGATCCAGATGGATGACATGACTTACTGGTGCTAAACTTATAGAATGCGGGAATTTGATGGTTGTTACATGTTGTTACTAGATGTTACTAGTATTGGATTGGATCATTCATGATCATTCATGATCATTCATGATCATTCATGATCATTCCCCCATTCCCGATGTTTAGCACCAGATGGGCCATGATGGATCCAATTCAAACCATGAGAATTCTGGGAACACTGATGTGTCATCAAATTATCTGCATGATCTTCATGAGATACTTCTGTGGAAGAACTTTCATCATCTTGAACTGTCTGGATGATATTGGGCTTTGAAACTTGACAGATGCAGAAATCTGCATTGTATTTTTTTTTCAGGTGAGAGGTTCTGGCACTGAGGGCAACTTCAAAGATTGCATCTTCAGCTTTGCTTTTGGTGAGTCAAAACCTGCAAGTAACTATCGACTGTATTCTAATGTGGCAAACGGGAAGCCCAATATCAAAACCGTACACGTATTCAATTTTTAACTACATTTCACCGCTTGGATCCATGTCGGGATTTTCATCAACCATTACACTGGGGCTTATCATTGGCCTTACCTGGTGTCAGTGCCTGCTGCAGTATCGAGAGCTCGCTGCAAAGGCGAACTCAGCAGCAGCCAACCATCACTGCCGACCTCCTGCACGACTCTGCGATACCAAAAGAAATCCAGATCATTCACACATTAGTTCTCTTTAGGATCCGGGACAACTATCCAACCCACCAAAGGGTCCAATCTTGGTTATGCATTTTCGGAATGTTTCTTCCTCATTTTGCAATGGGTGTGGATATGCGTGGATAACATGCCCATTCTTGATTGTTTCAGTATTATCTATCCATTTCCCGTGGAACAAATCATCTAATCTGGATTTGGCAAACGTGAATCCATTATGACTCCCCGCTTCCGCCTGAATCCGCCTGAGAATGATCCTGGCAACACATCCTGGTTCGATGTTGCATCTGTTGATTCTTTAGGGTGGTACCTGACCTAAAAATATTCACCACTGAAAATAAGATACCGCCCATATCAATGTCAACCCTTTAAAAAGTATAAATTGGGCTTTGTCGATGGGCCATTGGACGGCTATCATTTAACATTCATTTACCTTTTGTAGGTTGGAGCAACCTATGTACTGAAGTCCATTTAGAATCATTTTGATCCTATTTATCATCTGTAATCTCACCCTATGAGCCTATAATGTCCTATGTATAATCAATAATCTATGACACTATGATCCTATAAAGCCTAAAAGATCCTATAAGGTTGAAGCGTATAATCATTTAATATCCTATCATTGTCATATCATATCCCATCACTCATAATATCCCATGCTGGTTGAACCGTGGTCCTCCGGGCCTCCTGCAGCTTTCGCAAGACGCCTTGCGCCTCCTCCGCCTGTGCGCGTCCGGTCTCCGTCAGGGGCGCATCGCGCAGGAAGGGATCTTGGCCCGTGGCGCGCATGGCCTGGACGACAGCTGTGGCCGTGGGATCACTTGGAATTACATGAATGGCATCATCACAGTCATAACTCATAACTATTGGTTTTAGATATATTCTAATAACATTTCGATGAAGTCTAGGCTGATAAATTAGCCAATAGATTCACCCAGTTACAAAGACTAGAATTTCTTTGACATTATAAGATACTGTATTAAGCTAGTCAATTCCGCGTTGAAGTGATGAAACATGGGATGATGCCACCGTTCCTCAAGCAAGCAGGGAAAGATCACCCACTTGTTGCCAGCAGTCGCTTCAAATCTGTAAGAATGAGACGGTCACTGCATGTCACTGCCACCTCCCCCAACTCCGAGCCTTATTGTATTCAGACTCACCATGTCGAACAAAAATGATGGTCTTCCCGGCCATTGCTTTCGTAGCCGCTTCGCCGGCACATTCCGCCATTGCAGCTGCTCCGTCTGAGCCGAGATAGGTGGTGCCATTGTCCTTCAAACCCTGAGTTGATCTACAACCCCTTAGGCCCTTCGTATATATGCTATCAGGTCTTGATCTCCCCTAATTAATATGATTGGCAGGAATGGCTTCACAGCTTCACAGTCCTTTTCCATACCTGAAGCCTTGCTCGGTGAAGCACTCAGTAATCAGCTAAAGCTGGTGAAAACCAGAAGTGTCCAAGGGCCAAGCTGGTGGTGTTGCTGGAACCGCAGCCGGACTGACAGCTTTGCAATTCTTTGCAACTCCAATTCCACCAACTTGAAGAACAACATGTCTTTCTTTAGAGAAAAAAAAAAGTGTCGCACAGAGTCTTGACCCGCCATGGTGTGCTGCAACAAAGCCTGGGATCTGGAGATTGTTGCGGTAGAGCAGGAGCAGGATATCCTGCTCCGGGTGGAGCTAACCTGTCCGTCAACCCCATCGAGCAAGGGAAAGGGAACCGAAAGCAAAGAGCGATGCACCAAGTTCATGAACGTCATCAGAGTTGTGTCCAAGAGGTTTTCAATCTCACTTGGGTATTCAGGCCAACTGTTCATCCTTTTGATCAACTCCAACTCAGCAAAAGCTGCCTGGCCAACATCTCCGCAGCCCGGGCTGCCTCCTCAGCCTTGCGATTTCTGTCTGTGAAGATCTGCCGGAAACATCTGGAAACAACGTGGATCTTCCATGTTTTTCCCATCAAACGTGTGGAAAATCTTCAGAAAAACACTTGGGCCCATCCAATTGAGATCAATCAAGAAGGTGATGAGCGGTGATGTCAATCACCATCCATCCAAAGAATATGGGATAATTAGTATGAGCCCCTTGGATTGCCAGCAATCCCAAGTACAAACCTTTTGGGTGTTTCATAACCACAACCCCAGGCTGTCAAAAAATGGTGCCATCCTTGATGTTCATGCCCCCCACTTCCATAGCCCCATTGGCATTGACCCATCCCCAGTATGGACAGGTCAGAAGCATTGGAAATCACCAGCCAGAGTTGCACATGTTCAGTTTGTTAAGGGGTGGCTGCATCATCTGGGTAGAGATTTCCCCCCCCCGGGTAATGATTAAATAAAAGTATAGATATAGAAATGCTAATAGTCATTGCAATGATATGCAATGATAATAGTGCTAATTCATCAACTTTAAATACACTTTGTCCCTTTTGTGAGTGATCCCCCTCAGAATTTCATCAACTCCCTTTAGATAACACATCTCTATCTAATACATACATACATACATACATACATATATATATAAACAGATGTAAAACGTATATAAACAGTTGAATCGCATCTCTTGAGATGATTGCCCTTACCAGTCCCTGGCCCTAACATCAACTATCCCATCCCCTTAGTATTAGAAACCATAAAACGATGGTTTCGCAATGGATCTTCTACGGCTGAGGATCAAACCGCAAGGGCGCCTAAAAGATCCTGTTGAACCTGGCCATCGGCCAGGTTGACGTCTCTCTAATGGTATATCATGATACCATTTTTTCAAAACAAACCCATCTTGTCAACATCCGTATGAAAAGCTAAAGGATTGTGTAGGTGAAATCATGCCGGACTAGTGTGGAAGATTGAAGACGGCTCAAAACCAAAGAGCTTCGCCATCTAGAGATGCGATTTAGTGAAGCTATGTCAGGCACCAGTCTCTAGTCGATCATTCTCAGAATTCCTAGGTGCATCATGTCGGTCGCATGGTTTTGAGCTCATGGGTGAATACGGAGTCATGGTGCAACATGAGTGAGCTTTGTTGGAGTTTGGTCACCCAAAGGCACTGATCCTTCCGAAAAATGAAATGTGACAGACATGCTTCCAGATACTGTGCCACACATACGGGGCATCCAAGACTTGCCAGATCAAAAAAACGGTAGTATTATGTAGTAGTATATAAATGCTTCAGCAGATTCTCAGCAATGCTTTTGCGCTGTGTCAGTGTTCCAACCCTTGCCCCGAGGCAACGGTGTCAAGACTGATTCAGACCCGTATTGGATCAGACCTGTTCGCATGTGGCTGGGAAAGTGGGCAAAGCCGGTGGATCTTTCCTGACTTTCCTCAAAACACAGCCCCGTTTGCCTCAGAATGGAGAAACAAAAGCATAGTGGCAGCCTTTCACACTTTCACATCATAAGCCAATGATAAGTTCATCATTAGTGTCTGGAAAATTATGGATATACCCTGTATTTTCACAGCCATGGAACATCACCATTCTTTCAGCAAAACAAACGGTAAACTCCTTCGAACGAAATGGGCCATGGCGGAACCACCGGCACGACTGCCACGCCGCGCTTCTGAGCCCTGGGTCCTTCTTTGGTTCCACTGGGCCCAGTGGATTGGCATCTGGGATTGGCATGGTCAAAGAGTCCCGCGTCTGTGCATAAATAGTCATAAATAGATCACATTAAGATAGAGAATATGAAACACTATCACCAAATCTCATGAATCATATTGAAAAATCATCACATCTTAAACTGAGTGGCAAAACAGCATAAAACAGCCGCGTCCAAGATGCCATGTCATAATCTGTTTGTGGAACAACCCAGCCAATTGCCGCGTCTTGATCCTGCTAAGATCAGACTCAGTTCACTCTGGCACCTGCGCAGGGTCGACATGAAGATGGTCACCTGGTACTCGTTTTTGATGCACAATCTAAAGGAATGCACACACATGTACACTGAGATAGAGAAACAAACACACACACACACGTCTATAGACTATATATCTATTTCAAAGCATACCTTGATATGTTCACATTGATACTTTTTTTTCCCCGGGGTGTTGTCAATTAGAATATGTATATATATATAATATGCATTGAATCATCTAAGTATTCATTTCCCTATTTATAGGAATTATAGGCATTTGGCATATGATCGTGCATACATGTGTATTTGCATGGGCACGATATACGGATATCCAGTATATACCCGAACACTACTGCCACATTGCCATTGGCCATTGGGAGCGGCCGAAGGGGCTCCCTTCCTTCGACACGCCATGAGTTTCGCAGCTGCCTTTGTTGCCATCAAATGCACGAAGGTGGGTGCACCAGGGGCACATACATCACCTGAGGCCAGTTGTACTAGGATGTCCCTGGGGGTCAACGCGTCATCTGCGCACATTGAAAGCGAGTCATCTGCGCACATTGCAAACGAGTCATCTGCGCACAGAGAAACCGCGTCATCCGCGCACTAAGAGCGGTCATCCGCGCACATTGAGGCTGGGAACCAGCCATTTCGGGTTTGGTTGGGGGGGTGGGGTGGGGTGGGGTGGGGTGGGATGATAACGTTCATGTTCCTATGCACACACAGGCACAGCAACCTCATCATCTTTCTTCCCGTAGAGCAGAGACAGGCACAGCTCTTTCATGATCAGTTACCGGTGGGGTGGGGTGAGTTAATAAGGTTCATGTTCCTATGCCTGCACACGCACAGCAACCTCATCATCTTTCTTGCTGTAGAGCACTTACACGCACTGCTCTTTCATGATCAGTTACCCGTGGGGTGGGGGGGGTGGGGTGGGGTGGGGTGGGATGATAACGTTCATGTTCCTATGCACACACAGGCACAGCAACCTCATCATCTTTCTTCCCGTAGAGCAGAGACAGGCACAGCTCTTTCATGATCAGTTACCGGTGGGGTGGGGTGAGTTAATAAGGTTCATGTTCCTATGCCTGCACACGCACAGCAACCTCATCATCTTTCTTGCTGTAGAGCATTTCCTCGCACTGCTCTTTCATGATCAGTTACCCGTGGGGTGGGGGGTGGCTGTGTAAGATGAGTTGTTGAGAGATGACTTGTGTGAGATGAGTTGTGTGACTTGTGAGATGAGACGAGTTGTGTGAGTTGTGAGATGAGTGGAGTGGTGTGAGACGAGTTCTGTGAGTTGTGAGATGAGTGGAGTTGTGTGAGATGAGTTGTGTGAGTTGTGAGATGAGTTGTGTGAAAGAACTTGGGTGAACTTCAGTGAGAGAACACGAAAGCAGCTCCACCAAATGGCACACGAAAGCAGCTCTTGAGTGAGTTGAGTTGTGTAAGATGAGTTGTGAGAGATGAGTTGTGTGAGATGAGTTGTGTGACTTGTGAGATGAGAGGAGTTGTGTGAGTTGTAAGATGAGCGGAGTGGTGTGAGATGAGTTCTGTGAGTTGTGAGATGAGTGGAGTTGTGTGAGATGAGTTGTGTGAGTTGTGAGATGAGTTCTGTGAAAGAACTTGGGTGAACTTCAGTGAGAGAACACGAAAGCAGCTCCACCAAATGGCACACGAAAGCAGCTCTTGAGTGAGTTGAGTTGTGTAAGATGAGTTGTGAGAGATGAGTTGTGTGAGATGAGTTGTGTGACTTGTGAGATGAGACAAATTGTGTGAGTTGTGAGATGAGTGGAGTGGTGTGAGACGAGTTCTGTGACTTGTGAGATGAGAGGAGTTGTGTGGGATGAGTTCTGTGAGTTGTGTGAGACAACTTGGGTGAAGTTGAGAGGGAAAGAAGCAACTCAGGATGAGAAGGAGGAGAAGGCAAGGAATACAAACCTAAAAAGCCCCACACAGAGATGTGAGGAAAAAAACATAACTTGATGAGTTGTGTGATGATGTTTAAAAAAAAGCTAGAAGAAGAATCATGTTACAGAGATACAATGACAAAATCACACAACAAAAACGTGCACAGACGACCAACCGTCTGACGTGCACAAACGACCCACTTTTGACGTGCACAGACGACCCCTCAACCTGTACTGGGCACCACCTGGTTGAGGAAAGCTACTGGAAAGGTGGTATGAAAATGCCTGGTCCCCCAAAGGGTCCTCAACCGTTTTGTAGTGGCAAAGTGCAAGAGTCACATCACTCACCTGTTCCATCAAGGTCTTCAGAAAAGAGATGGAAAAAGGATGAGCCAGGTATGCAACGGAAGGTAAAAAGGGACCCTCTTCATTGGTCAAAGTGTCAAAGCAAAAACACCTCCATCGAGGTGAAATGGTGTCGTATGCAAGACAGCTTGTCAAGCAAACAGGACAACTGCAAAACCGAGGTTGCAACCCCCCAAATAGCAATCTTATATTCTTGCAGACAATGATGATTAGCCGGTAATATACACCAGATTAAATCAGTGGATTTAGGGCTGCTCTATCCTATTTCAGACAACCCCAAGACCAGCCAACTGCAAAAGGTTTCCATGGCCTGGGCTTACGTTTCAGCCCAGTCGCTCCCATGAGACTTTTCTGTTCAAAGTTGCCGTTTGGCAGCCGGTCCTGGGTCTGAGGCGTTGTTTTCTGATGTCAAACATCCAAGAGCAACTGTTGCACAGCCCTTTGCACACTCCAGACTCCAACCCAATGATATATTCAAAATCTCAACACAGCGTAACACAGCCAAGATCAGCCAAGCATCTATAGTGCAGAATTGCTGTGTGGTGGTCCCGACCTGAAAAAAACACTAAAAAACATGGTCCCGACGTTGGCTCTTGGAACGTTCATTTGCAGCCAGAAATGATCAAACACAGCTGCAGATGGTAATTAGTGACGCACAGACCAGCATTGTGCAAATATGTCCAAACATGTCCAAGCTATGAAACTATTCATGTTACGTTCATCAATTCCAGCCGTTCCATGCCGTTGCCAAGGTGCAGGGATGACCATGCGCCCCCCTGGCTTGAGCTGTTCCAGCAATGCTTCTGGCACAGACCTCGCTCCCATCTAGTCACAGATCCTTCCTGATCCCTTGGGTTTTCCCGACTATTAACCATACTAGTCGTGAACAGATGCGGATGTTTGAATACCGACATTCTTTGTGATTCATGATCCGGTCCGCTGCTTTCTTGTATTCTATATACTCTGTCTGTTTTGGCAGCTTCTCAACAGCAAGGAAGAAAACGCAACCTACAGGCGCCACTTTCAATTGGTCAAGCAGCTCTGCCGCTGCCCCGACATGGATGGAATCGTACGGCGAGGCCTCACGCGTCTACTTCACCATCGCCAAAAGGTCGATTGTCCAAGATAACCACTATAACATACTATGACTATAACTAGATTTATCGGCGAGGTTAGAATCAGTTCTAGGATGTTCTAGGGAATCACTGGTGGCTGTGTGTGCAGACTTTCCAGATTCCTCATTCAAACGAGAACACAAAATGCTGTGGTGACCAGGTATTCGCCACAACGGCAATTACGATCCCTAAGCATGAAACAGCATCCCTGTGGGCTGGGCTGACTGGACGACGTACGCTAAGTGGTTAAGAAATGTGTCCGAAGTTGTCCAGTAGGTGTGGGAACAGCAATGGGCAGTAGCGAAAATCACATCACCCATCATCACCTGGCCTGCTCAAAGCCTTTCCATCCATCTCCCTGTTCGACTTGAAGGGTGCCGCCTGGAGGGAACTTGAAAACAAACATTCTATCGAGTGTAATTAGTGATTTTATGATCATACATACAAGTGCAAGGCAAACAGAACAGGAATGCACAGGAATACCTTGCATGGATGCCATGAAGAAACTGGAGATGTAAGAACAACTCGCTCTTTGCAGCCACGTTTGCCTGACAACATAGCAGCCTAAACACGTCTAAACGCCAAGACCTGCCAAGACACTATCTAAAAGGTCGGCGTCTTCCTTCCGCACATTTTCCAAAGACAAGGCCACCAGGGGCGACAAGTAGTCGATGGCAACCACCTGTCCGTCAATGCCAACCATTCTCGCCATCACTGCAGCCAGATAACCGCTTCCGCATCCAACATCAAGAGCCCTCATGCCTTCAGTTGATTCAGCGTTTGTGATGTCAACAGGATTTTGTCTTTCGGTGTCCCATTTTCAATGGAAACCCTTCATGAGCTGCCTGACTGAAAACAACGATGTGAGATCAAATCCAATGTTGTATGATTTCAGTGGATTTAGAAGGAGCCCCTGCAAGAAACCCTGAGCATTGTCCAAACAAATCCTGATATGCTGACAATTTGTATCCATGCTTGTTGCTTTCTGTTCTGAAACTGCTACTGCTACTGCTACTGCTACTCCTACTCCTACTACTACCACGACCACGACCACGACCACGACCACGACCACGACTACTACTACGACTACTACTACTACTACGACTACTACTAACTACTACGACTACTACGACTACTACGACTACTACGACTACTACGACTACGACTACTACGACTACTACGACTACTACGACTACTACGACTACTACGACTACTACGACTACTACGACTACTACGACTACTACGACTACTACGACTACTACGACTACTACGACTACTACGACTACTACGACTACTACGACTACTACGATTACTACGACTACTACGACTACTACGACTACTACGACTACTACGACTACTACGACTACTACGACTACTACGACTACTACGACTACTACGACTACTACGACGACTACTACTACTACTACTACTACTAAGAATATACACAATGCAGAAGAAAAGCAACTGTGACTACCCTTCTCCTGTTGTACAGCGTCCTGTCACCCGTCCAGTTCTGCCTGGTTGAAGGTGGTTCGCGAGCAGCTCCAGTGCATGAGCATGCATGTGTGGAGCACTGATTGTCGCCTGTCAGCTGCACAAGCTGCAAAAACGTTTGAACATTTCACATGCCTCATATGTAATCACAGTTATTCATACATATACACATACATATACATGCATATGTATATATATATATATATTCACACACACACACATATATATATATATCCTGAGCAAGTACTGCGTTGATCACCTTGATTTGACGAGCTTTTGATTTAGATCCAGAACAAAGGAACAACGTGACACTTTGTGGCACTATCTCCCTTTGAATATCCAAGCATACCTAAACTCGTCGTTTTATCACGCTTTCTCAGGTTCGTGATTGGTTTTCTTATGCCTAAAACCTGTGTCAGTAGCATCCAATAGCAACATTGGAGAACATTGGTCCCCACCTGGTGCCCCAACGGCTGCGGAGCATCTGTATATGGATTTTGTGGCGCATAGTTGCTGCGATCCACTTTGAGCATTGCTTGCTCCACATGATCCGTGTGGATCACCCCAGCCTTGCAACAGACGAGGGCCTAAGGGGGGTGACCATAGCTATTAAATCCTATTAATGTCAACATCTGTGGACGCAAGAGCTTAAAAGACAGGGCGGTTGAATTTCTTGGATTCCGATTAAATCGCGCAGTGTGACTTTTTGGCTTTTTCATGGACAGCAATTGATACTCGGGATCCTCACACCTGATTTTCGATCAAGTCCATGGACTTCAAGCTCCACCCACAAATCAAGGAAGCTTGATATTCTGGGGGTCACGATGGGTCATTGAACAATTAGCAGCCAAACTTTGTGGTTCCCTAGGTCTTCAAATCTTGAGCTATAATGCTGGCCTTGCGAAGGTTCCGCACAAGATCAGCATTGCCGGAGGCCGAGCAACGCCACGCCATGCGCACGGCATCCACAACCCTCCGTCGGCAGAGGGCCAAGAAAACAACTGTGCTGCAACGGCAGGCAATGGAATGCCATAGGTCCGAGACCATTCATGATGAAATAAATACACACACACACACCCCACACACATACACACACTCACACTTGCTCTCTCTCACACACACACTAATACACACACACACACATATATATATATATCAAAATAAACCAACAAATAAATGTATATATATATATGTATAGCTATGAATAAATACATGTATGCTGCTTATATAAACATGATCATCCATGATCTTCCATGGTCATCGAGGACGATCCACATTCATCCATGATCCTTTAAAATCGTCCATGGGGCTGCCCGCTTCCAGGACGTGTCAAAATCACTGAAAGAAGACAAAGTCGTAATATCGTAGAAGTCTATATTCTAATGCTGGAAACCACTCCTTCTGAGTTGACATGACATAATATACTTTTGCAGTTGGCCTGCGACGTCCTGGAGTTAGTGTTCAACCTACTGGTCGGCCAGCTGCAATCAGCGAACATGATTGACTTGCAGAGTTGAAATTAACCCAAGGATAACTCCCCCAATCTCACCTCAGCAGCTGATGACCACTTAGGGCTTTGTTTTGTCACTTTCTGGTTCTTCGTCACTAGGTGCTGAGTTCTCCTCACTGGAGCTGTATGCCACCAGTGCTGAAACCACTGATGATGTCGGAGCCTCATTGGAATCCGCGACTGGCTTCAGCTTGACGTAAGAGGGCGGCTTTGGCCCTGTCTTGGGCTCCTTCAACGCCACTTCTGTCTGGGTGCCTTGGCGCAGGCTCCTGGCACGTTCGCGCTGAAACATCTCTGCTTCTCGCTCTCGGGATGGAAGCCGTCGCCGCTTTGGCGCTGCTCCTTTCTTGCCGCGGGCTCGATCAAAGGAGGCAGCGCTCCAAGGTTTCCTTCAGAGTCAAATTCAAGGCGACTGATTTGCTGCAAGATCTGGAGAAGCAGTCAACCAGTCATCAGTCATCAAGAAAACAACGCCTCAAATTATATAGGTGATTCGCAGATCAATCCTGTGAATTCTAGATATGCCATTGAACCCTGCGTCCATGGAGCATAAGGCCAAGCTGCTCTATGGCACGACTTCGCTTTGAACGTTTGTCATGGTCAAAATCAATCATCAAACCTGGCAACTTTGCGGCTTCAGCTGGGGTCCAGTTGGACTGAAAGTTGAACTGTTAAGCTAAGAAGAAAATAAAAACAAATGACGTCAGACTACGGTCGGGGACCTCAATCAAAAGTTGTCATGGCATAGAGGTCAGCTTTGAAAGAACAACTTTTGGCATCTTGTGGCTACATTCTGAACATCCCTGATGCGAATCCCCTGCAAATCCCTGCAGCCCCATCCGCACCTTCCTCTGCAGGGTCAAAGCGGTGCCCTTGATGCCTTCGCATCGCTTGGGTCGCTTGTATTTCAGTTCCTTGCCCACCATGCGGTCAATGAGACAAGAATAACAAAATACCGCTGACATATATTGATGTTGACCCAACACATCCCAACACCAACAAAGACGTGTGTGACCATGTTGCAGCACTGACTAGTCTAACTTTGTAGGGACCCACGGTTCCCTGTCTACGGCAGCCAAAGAGAGCCTTGCAGTCCCAGGCGCCAAAATCCACAAAAACAATCTTCTTGGACCCTCCAACTGCCCGCAGGCCACAGAAACCTTCATCCTCAGCAAAGATAAACATTTAACACACACACATCGATCATCGAACCATGAAAAGACTCATGGCATGCAGGGCTCGTGCCGGCAGTTTCAAGACATAGAAGCATGAAAATCAAACGTGCATGCCTCGCATGCAATGTCTCCCGTCATCTTTTGATTGCGGTGTGAAGCCTTGCCATTTGAAACTTTCAAGCCTTGTAGCGCCTCCACGCGTCTACTACCCCTGTAGTGGCCCTCTTTGCAATGACACCTACTCAAAGCTTAACGACAAAAAGAGCGGGTCCTTGGAAAAAAGCGCTGACACTTGCGCCAAAGTGATATTGCCAGGGATGTTCGTGACATAAATGGTCAGAGCTTGCTTCGTGTTGGTGGTTGAGGTTCCACCGCTCCACATCACGCTGCTTCGTCAAGTCAAAGGGAACAGCACGCGACAGGAGGGCATGGCAGGGTCAGAGCGACTTTGAGCATGACTTCGTAACTTGCAAATACGTGATGCACCCCAAATAGGTCAGCTGTCATGATAGAAGGGTGTGTCCAAACATATCATGGTTAAGTATGGTTGAGTGTCAAAAGCTTAAGCCGATGTTACTGCGTCATCAACTATTGCAGCAAATTATTTCTGTTGCAGAGCTTTTTGATCAGATCCTTCAAGCAAACTCCTATTTTTCCTGCTTTTGTACCTCATTTTTGTTCATTTCCCAACATCAAACGGAAACTGGGCATTTGAAAAACACTCCATCTGCCAACCGCACCTGAGCCTTTGGCTTGGCCTTGGCTTTGGCCGGTGCCTTCACCACAGGCTTTGTCGGTGCCTGTGGCGCCTGGACGGATGCTGAGAATGCCTCAGGGGTGCGTGGGTCAAAATGAGCCACTGACGCAGTCACTGACAACCTGAATCCCCCTGGGAGGGTTGACTTGGTCTCCATGATTTGGTTTCCTTTCTATGGCGATTTTAATTCCAATGCATCACGGGACCTGCGCCAAAAGCTGAAACGGTTGTCATCCTGGTGATTAAATGCAGCCCACTTGCAAACACTTTGAGATCTCTGGGACACAAACCGCATCGCTGGAATCAACACTTGCAAAGCAGTGCAGCAAGCCCTGAGCTGCCCTAGCCAAACAAAGGAGCCTACTAATTATGTCAAACAGTCTCTGTGCAGCACTTAGCATCAGGGCTCATCAGCCAAAGAGGGGAAAACCAACCGCCCCTCAGAAACCAACCCACAAACCCATATGGCTCGAGTATGGCTCGAGTGTCAGATGCAAACAGCCAAGTCGCAGTTGCAAAATGGTGGATGCTTTGGTGTGTTTCATTTCGTTAAACCTATCAACTCTGAATTTGTAGTTTGTTACAAAGACAACGGAAAACAGAGATAAATAGAGGCACAGTTCCAAACCTCTCTGCCTCCGAGTTGCGCCACGGCTCCGGTTGGGGCCCTGGTTCGGGCACTGTCCTGGAGGAAGCTCATCTGCCGGATGGTTGGGTCGCAAAAGAATGACACCCTCCAAGTTGGATCCCAATGACTTCTATGCGAGATCACAGAAGATTGAGGAACCCACTCCTGACCTTTAGCTACTCGCAACATGGAGGGTGTTGACTTGAATCGCAGACTGAGTGTCTTGACCTATGACGTGTGATCAACGCAGCAGCTTTAATCTGTCCGGCTTGAGGCGCGGAAAATCCCAGCAACATGCAACTCCAACAATCTGCTACAGCCAAAGCTGCAAGTCCATTCTTTGGGCTCTTTATCAACAAGCATAGCACCCTGAGCGAGATATAGTTTAATGTTGTGGTGGTGTATGTCCTTTAGAGGCTCTTGGCCCGCCATTGGTGCTCGCTTCAGCCTGCAAAATGAAGTTTTAACAAAGGGAGCTGCATTATCGGTTACCCTCATGCTCTTCCATTGCAGTACATCCTTTGATCTTTCAACCTGTATACACATTGTATACTGTTTTTTGGCAGCGGCTTGCCTCCCCTTCAGAGCCCAAGTCTTCAAAGTCGAACTCGAACATCTGCCCATTAGAAGCAAAGGAAGCTAGGCCATCCAGAAACCAAGTGGCACATGTCGTACCTCCAAAGTGTTGGCCCTTTCCCATTACATATTTTGCCAAACGTGCGCAAGCAAATGGACTTGGTCCTTAAATATCTTAAATGGTCTGCGGCACTGTCGGGACTTGTCATCTTTTAGACACATTGAAAATGCAATGGGGGACTGCAGGCAATCCATAGGGGGTAGATTTTCTTCTGTTCGGTGTCTCCTGTCTGCTGAAATGCTGGCCGCTCACTCAGGCGATTCACACTGAGACATCCATGTCATCTTGAACCCCAAATCTGCACTGTTGGGCAGTGTGGTGTCTGGCAAGGACACGCTTCAAAACGAAGGATTGCTAAATCTATGCGAAACAGAACTTGCCCAGTTTCACACATACATCATACATCTTTCAACAACGCTGATGACATGTGATGACTCTCTGGTTCATGCGCACGCACACATAGTACACCAACATGAACGAGGAAACAATGAAATTATCAGGACAGCGTGGTGAAATGCCCCATCATGCCCCATCAACAGTTGCAAATGCCACAAAGATCAGTGCAACAAGAAAGTCAGTCCGCGGTGTCCGCGGTGGATCTAACACACAGAAACGAACTTCTGCCATTGGTACTTTTTGTGTAAGCGCAGCAACTTCTCAGAGATTCAGCAAATTTCACCGCATCAGAATGGAATTTGCGACCTCAAGTAGTGCTCCCACCAAATCCTTGGAGCTCTCAGAGGGTGCCAGCATACTAAGGTGGTGAGGATATTTTTCAACAATTTGTTTGAAACGTTTGGAAAGAACAAAGCAAATCAACCAATCAGAAATTGCAGAAACCAACGTTATAGCCCTTTGGTTGAAACGGGTTTCCCAGTGGCCAACGGTTATCATCGCAGAACCAAACCACTGCTCCAAGTTTCTGTTCGAGGTCACCTTTTTTGGCATCGGAATCCCATGGCTTTGGTGAAGAGCAAAAGTGTAACACCTGCGCGAGGCACAGGATGCGGCGTCACCATCGGTCACCATAACAATTTGGAACCAGACGGTGTGCCCATCTCTTGCTATGGACAGGTGCAAATGAATATGCACAGTAGGTGCACATGTAAATGTACACACACACAAATGTGCATATATTGCAAGTGAACAACAACCTCCGCCAATAAATTGAAACAAGAAAACCCGCCAATTGTTTCCCTGCAGCCACGGCAATCAGCCCATGAACGCGCACTTGCTCAGACTTGTCTTGTCGAATTGTGATGTGGAATGCCACGGTCGTGCAAAAACACCAACAACCAAAACCACGATGAGATGATCCTAGACAAATATGTATATTTATATTTATTTTTTGCTTATGATTAATTAATTAAGTAATTAATTAATTAGTTAAATTAATTAATTAATGAATTAATTAACTAATTAATTAATTAATGAATCTACCTATCTATCTATTTATCTATTTTCTTTTATTTATATCTACTTATTATCTATTTATCTATTTATTTATTGATGCATTTATTTATTTATCTATTTATCTTTTTATAATAAAAAGCAACAGCGATAAATTCTATGTCATTCTATGTCCTCCCAGCGACTTAAATGCGCCCTGTATACTATATGCAGGTACAGGAGCGTGCGTCCACATTCCCTTGCGGCTGTATCCCGTAGCTTCGTTGGCGTGGCTAGGGAAACAGCTGCCATGCCCCCTGCAATGAAGGAAGTTTTACATCTATGCAGATGGTTCACACGCACGCACGCACGCACGCACGCACACACACGCACCCACCCACACACACACACACCCACACACACACACACCCTGCCGCAGCAGGGTAGGTGAAATGGAGATAAAAATGAGATGACAATGAAATGGCATGACACCTTACCTACCCGGGACACGAGGCGGGGAACGCAAAAGAAGAAAGGAATTAAAGGACCCGATAACCCCATAAGTCAACTTCTTCCAATAATGAGAAATTAAAGTTGAAGCGGGACGGGGAAGGAAGGAAAGACAAAGGAGGTGGTGGAGGATCGATAAGTGAAAAAAATTGTATGTGAAAGTGGAAGAGTTGTGTGTGTGTGTGTTTGTGGAAGAGTTGTGTGCCACGCAAAACGAAGGTGGATGTCGCCAAGTGCCACCCCTGCATACCCCTGCCACGCAAAAACGAAGGTGGATGTCGCCAAGTGCCACGCCTGCCACGCAAAGTGCCGCGGCGCCCCGGGCGATCAAAGCGCGCCACCAGATCCAGCCCAGTGCCATACGTGCCACGCCTGCCACGCAAAGTGCCGCGGCGCCCCGTGCGACCAACGGGGACCAAGCGCGCCAATGGAACGTGGATGTCGCGAAGTGCCACGTCTGCGACGCAAATGGAACGTGGATGTCGCCAAGTGCCACGGATGCCACACAAAGTGCCGCGGCGCCCGGGCGACCAACGGGGACCAAGCGCGCCACCAGATCCAGCCCAGTGCCATAAGTGCCATGCCTGCCACGCAAATGGATCGGGGTTCAGATAAGGGGGGAGAAGTTGCGCAGAGGATTTTGATAGGTACAAGACGCAAAGCATAGGGCGCGCAACTACAAAACTCGATGCATGGTACCTTTTTTGCAGCTACAAAATACAGAACACAACCTTTTCTGACTCGGAAGGTAATTCAAAATATGCACTACAAAAACCAATGCATCTGAAGTTAAAAATAGCTGAAAATCGGAAACCGGCCAGAGGAGGGGGCGGACAGAAGCGCCTAACACAATTTACAAGGCGAGAGCCAAACCTACCTCGGCGCGCGCAGGACCCAAACCTGACCTAGCACGGGAGCACGCATGGAATAGGGGACCAATGGGGAACTAGTTAATGAGTAAGATGCATCCACAATCACATGCAATGCCGTGATACGGCTCCAGGCCCTCTGCTGTCAGATCCAACCCTATGAACGGCGGTCAGTCGTCCGCAGTTGAATTAAGTGCACATTTGAACCTCACCAACGACCAAAAAGAAGTAAATACCACACCTGAAAGCATGGTCTCACGCCTACATGCGCTGTATATATGTATATATACGCATACATACTTTCAATTTAAAAAAACAAAATAAGTAAATATATTTTTTTACATACACATGTGCAATGCGAACCCTCATCCCTTTGCCTTCACAGGTGCCACAGATTTCCAATATCCTGGATTTGAATGCGTAAACCTGGGAAGGAGCAGTGCTTGTTGGGATGGATCGCGTGGAAAGTCTTCTTCTCTCAATCATCTGCGTTATTTTTGCTGATTCAGCTGTCAATGATATTGTCTGAAATGAAAATGTTGTTCAGGGCACAAGCCAAACTCTGGTTAGCAACGGCAGCCGGCGGAAATGGGTTTGACACGCTGTTTGATCAAATCCGTCTGATCCAAACGTATATCAAATATCGGATCAACTTCCAGACTTTGCGATCCAGCCACCAATACATTGTCCGCAAAGCATTGTAGCGGAATGGCAATCGCTGCTCTGCTGGCCAGGAGTACCAGTCAGGGAAGAAAGAGTTCAGAAAGCCAGTGTCGCCTGGAAAACACAAAAAAAATGATGTGATATCATTGGGGTGTTCCTCCGAAGTCTGGCGGCTCCGAATGGCTCCGATACGAAGAACGACTGCACCATCTCCACCTAGACCTAGACCACAAAGCTGCCTCCATCATGCGAGGGCATCTGCTCAACCTGTGTCAGCATCTCCTGTCTTCTCAATGGACAAACCACCAGCGCAATACGTCGACAAACGTCACAGTTCCGAAACTGCATGTCATGCTTTCAACACCTTCCATAAGCGATTAGATTGCGCCGGGTGCAAAATGAGATGCCACATCGAGTCGTTTCTTTCCAGTGACTCGGTTTTGTCCAAAAGCTGAGGTATGTCCTAAATCCACTGATTAAGCATCCATCTAGAAATATTTTGAAATATTTTGAAAGTATGTCCTTTTCAATCCTTTTGCAAACGAAAGATGGAACGAGTCGTCGCGCTGCTCCTGAAATATCTTCCGACTGGGCTCCAGCACCATGACGCCAGCATTAAATTTATCAGGTGGAAACACGTCCTTGGAATATGTAGGGATGGGTGGAGCTGTGACAGGCTACGTGCTGAAATCTACAAGACCAATGGCGCCTGTTCCGCAACACATTCTCGTTGAGGCGAGTTGTCGCAATGCTTTGGAGCTCGGTACATTGAGAATCTCAGCATTGATATGAGATCGTCATCCTGTATAGCGATATGAAATCGACAAAAAGTACAAAACACATTCAAAAACAATATCGGAAAACCCCCGAGCAACTGATGTAATATCTATTCGTAGGTATTTTCTGCAGCCAATCCACCGGACAGAATGCTGGACAACTTCTGTCAAAAAGTTCGTCCACATTTTCCTGAGCTGAGGACGGTGAACAGTTTCGATTCCCGTTTGTGCAAATTGTGTGTCGCAACTATCCCGCTGATGCAGTCAAGCCACCAAAACCAAGCAATCAGCGTCAATGTACACAAGTTTTGCCTGTTCAAAAATTAAAGGACCGGATAACCCCACAAGTCAACTTCTTCCAATATGAGCGCCAAAGGTTGTAGCAGGGACGGAGAAGGAAGGAAAGGCAAAGGAGGTGGTGAAGGATCGAAAAGTTTAAACGGGTGTGTGTGTGTGACAAAGTGGAATGTGAAAGATGGTGTGTGACGAAGAAAGATGGGGTGTGCGTGTGTGACAAAGCAGTGTGTGAAAGATGGCGTGTGTGAAAGTTGTGTGTGAAAGAGAGCGTGTGACAAAGTTGTGTGTGAAAGACGGTGTGTGACAAAGTGTGTGTGAAAGACGGTGTGTGACAAAGTGTGTGTGAAAGATGGTGTGTGACAAAGTGTGTGTGAAAGATGGTGTGTGACAAAGTTGTGTGTGAAGGATGGTGTGGTGAAAGATGGTGTGTGACAAAGTGGTGTGTGAAGGTTGGTGTGGTGAAAGATGGTGTGGGTGAAAGTTCTGTGTGAAAGAGAGCGTGTGACAAAGTCGTGTGTGAAAGACGGTGTGTGACAAAGTGGTGTGTGAAAGATGGTGTGTCAAAGATGGTGGGTGACAAAGTGGTGTGTGAAAGATGGTGCGTGAAAGATTGTGGGTGACAAAGTTGCGTGTGAAAGAGGGTGTGTCAAAGATGGTGCCACGCCTGCCACGCAAAACAAAGGTGGATGTGACATTGTGCCACGCCTGCCACGCAAAGTGCCGCGGCGTCACGGGCGACCAAAACCAGCCCAAGCGCGCCACCCAGTGCCATAAGTGCCACGCCTGCCACGCAAAACGAAGGATGTGACATTGTGCCACGCCTGCCACGTGAAACGAACGTAGATGTCACCAAGTGCCACGCCTGCTACGCAAAGTGCCGCGGCGTCACGGGCGACCAAAACCAGCCCAAGCGCGCCACCCAGTGCCATAAGTGCCACGCCTGCCACGCAAAACGAAGGTGGATGTGACATTGTGCCACGCCTGCCACGTGAAACGAACGTAGATGTGACCAAGTGCCACGCCTGCCACGCAAAGTGCCGCGGCGTCACGGGCGACCAAAACCAGCCCAAGCGCGCCACCCAGTGCCATAAGTGCCACGCCTGCAACGCAAAACGAAGGTGGATGTGACATTGTGCCACGCCTGCCACGTGAAACGAACGTAGATGTGACCAAGCGCCACGCCTGCCACGCAAAGTGCCGCGGCGTCACGGGCGACCAAAACCAGCCCAAGCGCGCCACCCAGTGCCATAAGTGCCACGCTTGCCACGCAAAACGAAAGATGTGACATTGTGCCACGCCTGCCACGTGAAACGAACGTAGATGTCACCAAGTGCCACGCCTGCCACGCAAAGTGCCGCAGCGTCACGGGCGACCAAAACCAGCCCAAGCGCGCCACCCAGTGCCATAAGTGCCACGCCGGCCACGCAAAACGAAAGATGTGACATTGTGCCACGCCTGCCACGTGAAACGAACGTAGATGTCACCAAGTGCCACGCCTGCCACGCAAAGTGCCGCGGCGTCACGGGCGACCAAAACCAGCCCAAGCGCGCCACCCAGTGCCATAAGTGCCACGCCTGCCACGCAAAACGAAGGTGGATGATGGTTGTTGACAGATGGTGTGTGACAAAGTTGTGTGTGAAGTTATTGTATGTGAAAGAGGGTATGTGACAAGATGGTATTTGATAGATAGTGTGCGACAAAGTTGTGTGTTAAGTTTGTGTGTGTGTGTGTGTGAAGTGATTGTATGTGAAAGATGATATGTGACAAAGTTGTGTGTGTTAAGTTGGTGTGTGAAGTTATTGTATGTGAAAGATGGTATGTGACAAAGTTGTGTGTTAAGATGTGAAAGATGGTATGTGACAAAGTTGTGTGTTAAGTTGGTGTGTGAAGTTATTGTATGTGAAAGATGGTATGTGGCAAAGTTGTGTGTTAAGTTTATGTATGTGACAGATGGTATGTGACAAATGTGTGGTAGGCGGAGGCGGGCGGACGGAGGAGGAGGAGGCTCGGGATACAGAATCAAAAACAAGAACCCCACACAAAGTTGTGGGGAAAAAGAACCATGCACTGGATACATTGCTAGTTTGTTTTTCGGTTTCGCCAAAGTCGAAGTTCTTTTTTCAATGGATGTCTCAGAAACGCTTTGTAACGCCAAACTTGTTTGCTTGCATCATTGCATCATTTCATCATATACAATTTGCACTGGCTCAGTGCCACGGTGATCAAAGTGAACATTTCTCCAAGGCACAAAATCATCTTGTTCCCAAACACGCAGTTTGGTAAAACCAGAGTTGACCCAACCAGGCCTCATCACAAGCAACATTGCACGTGGGTCACTCTTGTCCACCAACAAATCATTTCTTGAGATAAATGCGACAAAGGAACACACTTGTGGAATGTGGGTTTGGGATAGTTTCCACTGCTCGCCTTGGCTGCAAGCTGGGTCATGTTTGAACAGCAAGCCGCATGCAAACATGCCTGGTCTTGCAGACACTTGTAAGGCGAGAGGCAGTGTGAGGGAACTGTCCCTGGATAAACGTGCCAGAGTGTTGGAGGAGACTTGTTCTGTGTGGAGGACCTTGAATGACAAACATGAAATCCTTGTCACAAATCCAAACTGCCTGTCAACTACTTCCAGGCACTAGACTGGTAGCAAAATCAAAACTGGGCCGATTGCGCCAGTTTGAAAACACTTGACATGGTGCGGAACCGAACTGACAAATAGCAGCAACAACGTGATGACATGAAAAATGGCACATGCAGATAAGAGACCAGCATTGGCAAGTGCTTCGTCCCACTTGACCGAAAGGATGATGCCAAGGCTTGCACAGCCTCAAACCAATGAAGGATCACAGGTCACATGACGCATGATCTGGTGGTTTTTCAAGTGGCCATGGCCACAAAATCCGTGTCACTGTAATTAAATGGAAATTTGGGTGGGGATGTGATCTGCAACTGGGGATTTTCCATTCTCATATTTGATTGGCGGAGGGGCAACACTTCGACCCAAGCAACCATAAGAAAATCATCCGAAGTGATCAATGTCACATACGTCAAGTCCCCGCTGCCATCAGCACCATGCTCCATGGTTCCAATTTTTCCAAACTTTCTCGGGCGATTCAAAGGCAATGGTGGTTGTACGATTGCGACCCCTTTTTTAGCACTTGGAATTCAATGTGATTGTGGACATGTCACTATATCGATGGATTAGCGTCGAATTCTGACGAAGGAAAAAAAAGGATATTGAACGAAATGAAAAAAAGTAATGACCCGAAAGCAATTGCATATAGTTTGTTTGTCTTTCCATTGCGTGTTTTTGGCCCCGTTAAATACATTTCGGGACATGTGTGCTGCTGCATTTTTCAAATTCATCGCTTGGTCCACACCAGTGGCAATGGAAATTTCCGGCCTGTCAGTTTTGGTCGGTGCTATCGGCCAAACCCGGAAAAAACATGAAAAAACCTTGCTCCAGGAACCATCACATACAAACCCACAGCATCCGAATATTCTAAAATGGTTCGTTGCATGTGCGCCAAAAATCACCAATCATCGCCGCGCCCCCCTGAAATGCGCTTACCCTTGAGCACGGCTGATCGGGCTCTCGCAAACAGCAGCGTCAACTTATTCAAATCGTTTAATGTCTGTTAAAACTTGAAACAACATCTCGCGTGATGCACGGTAATGTCGAAACATGTTGCACAGCACGGGTTCCATATCTTAGTTTGTCAGGTAAGGGTGGGGAATGCTGTTTAACGGTCTGCGTCGCACACAGGTCTGAAATACATATTGACATGCATTTCAGCGGTTATGCAAACAGACATGAACAATCAAGCGCTGACTGGCAGACGCTGCCATTATCGTCAAATAAAATTTGTAGAGACACTCCGTGTTACGGAAGGTGGGCAGTAGCACCATTTCACCATATTTCACCATACCTCGACTTCAACTTCGCATTGCCTCAACCACACATTACACCATTTCATGAACCTCATGTCAAAGGACCTGAACCTCACACCACACCAACCTCACACTAGCTGAGCCCCATATTAAACTACTATACGCAAACCTCACACTACCTCGGCCTCGCAAAGTACAAACTTGACATATACACAAACTTCACGCTACCTCAGCCTCACACAACCTCCCACTGATGTTGCGCCAACCTCTCACCTCGCATTGCACAAACCTCACATTTCATCAACCCCGCATTCAATATGTGAACAGCACAGGGCCCGAACCTCACATTACATTGACGGCACATTGCCTGAGTTCCACAAGACGTGAACTTCATATTCTACGTCGAATCACATTACATCAATTTCAACTTCACAATTGCCTCAACCTCATGTACCCCAACCCCACATTGTTTCACAATTCATGGTGTTTTGCAAATCGGCGCTGGCAGATCGCATTGGAGCTGCGTCACCAACGACGAAATTTGATAGTCTGCTGGAATTTGTACGAAACACCGTGTTTTGTTGAGTACGTGTCAATGATCGTGAGAGAAAAAATTAGTTGCGCGCCCGGGTCGGGCAGTCTCGCCGTAGTGCCGACAAGGTCTTGAAGATTTGAAATGCACGCCCACTGGAACTCAGGTCTCAAGATGACTTTTGTATCTTTGCGCTTATGCTGTGCCATGGCCTTTTGACAAGGTGCAGAACTACTTTCTGCATTGGAACTGCTGCGTCAAGGTTACTTTTTGTCGCCGTAGGTTTTTGGATTAATTACATTGCGTTTTGCAAGTCGACGCTGGCAACTGGCGCATCGAAACTGTTGCATCGAGATTCCTTAGTGCAGTGCTACATCTGCCTGCGCAGTTCCATGGTCTTTGGAACCCCGTTGCCAGCAGATCGCGGTAGGGTGGCTGCCTACCGGGTGTGCCGCGGCTGCTTGCCTATTTGTTTTCTCTTCTTTCACCTGCCAATTCTATCCTCTCTCAAGGCGGGGCGGTGGCCACGAGCGATCTCACGAAAATGTGTCAGTTGCGCAGGAAATGAAATTCCATCGTCAAAACTGAAAAAGTGTGATTTTGAGTTGACTATTGCGACCTTTACACCCGAAATGAAGTTCGATCTTCAAAAAATGGAGAAAGATGCGATTTTGAGTTGCCCCGCAGCGGGTCCCCCGCAGCCGGTCCCCCGGCACAAGAGGAACTTTTGATGGTAGCTGCGTGGGTAAAAATTACGCTAGACGATGGATGGCCTGAGAGCTCAAAGGAGCAAGTTACTCAAGTGTACGTAAAAAAACGCTATGAAATCAGTATGTAGAAATCCGTTATAAATTATAAGTATTTAGAGGAAAGGGCAATGACAACGATTGAACATGTAGTAGCTGATCATCAGAAAGGTGAAAGAGGCAAAATGTCAAGATGTTAGGAACAAAAATGAAAACTGAAGAGGCACATTCAAGCATTTGCGTTGATACAGAACGAAAGCAAGGAGATAAACATTGCAAGGGAAAGAGAGTGAGGGAAACAAAGAAAAAATGGAGAAAATGTAGGATGTGCAGATGTAACACAAACGCTTTTACACACAGGCGCTCGTACGCAGAAACGCTTTACACACAGACATTTTGACACACAGACGTTTTTACACACACACACACGCGCTCGCTCTTACACACAGACGCTTTTACATCCAAACACTTTTACACACGGACGCTTTTACACACAGAGGCGTTTACACAGAGGCAGTGTCACGCACAGAAATGCACAGAAACCTTTACACACGGACGCTGTTACGCACATATGCGTTGACACAACAAAACTTGCACAAAGTACTTCCCGGCACTACTTCGTACTACTGTGTACGGAGGGAAGAGGGGGCCAGAGGGGGGCAACAAGGGGGGGCAAAAGAGGGGGGAGGGAGGCCTAGTACTACTTGTACCACAAAGTTTGCACGGAATACTTCTTTGCACTACAAAGTTTGCAGAAAAATGCCAATACTATCCAGTACTACTTTGTATTGCAAAGTTTGGACAAATTACTTCCAGTACCACTTACTACTTCGTATTTCAAAGTCAAAGTTTGCAGAAAGTATTTCCCAGTACTATACTTCGTACTATAAAGCTTGTGCAGGAAGCGAGAAGGGGCGAGAGTGGGCGAGGAGCAACCAGTACCACTTCGTACTACAAAGTTTGCACGAAGTAATTCTCAGTTCTACGTACTACAAAGTTGTCACATTCGTACATATTCGTACCACGAAACTTGCCGAACATACTACAAAGCTTGCACAAAGTTCTTCCCAGTGCGAAACTTGCACGAAATACTTCCCAGTACTACTTCGTACATCTTCGTACTAGAAAGCTTGCATAAAGGCAAAAAGTACTTCCCAGTACTACTTCGTGCTACAAACCTTGCAGAAAGTACGTCCCAGTACTTCTTCGTACTACATAACTAGTATATAACACTTCCGACTACAAAGCTTGCACGAAGTATTTCCCAGTACTACAAGTATGTCGTACTACAAACCTTTCACAAAGTACTTCCTTGCGCACGTGGGCCATCCGTCGTCTAGTTTTCTGGATATTGGTTGTTCAATTTGTTTTTCTACCCATGAACTTTGTTGAATTCTTCCGGTTCAATTATAGCTGACGTGTCAATGCCGAAACGTTGGAGGGTAGGGTGGTAAGAAAGCAATATGATAAAAGGGTAGGAGTCCAAGGGGGTTGGAAGGTAAGGGGGTAGAATGGTACGAGTAGGAGGGCAGTAGGCTGGGGGGATAGGAGGGTGGGAGGGCAGAATGGTGGAGAGGTTCAAGGGATTTTGACAGTATCAATCAAATGCCATAAGCCAAACTCAAACTCACTAGAAATGAACTTAATGTTCGCCATCTCTTGTTGGATGTAGGTGCCATTGGGTGTTCTGAATGGAAAAACTAATCCTTTGATCTTTTGCTGTATCAATCCGGATATTGGCTAATGTAAACACAGAAAGCAGCAATGCGGCTCAGACATCATATAGGAACCATGATCGTGATTCCCTTACAATTAACTGGGAAATATAGATCATAGAACCCCCACAAATTTACAATACTTTTTGGAGTAGAACTTACATGTTTTACTCGATATAAACGTATTGTTGTTTTATTTTTCTCAAGATTCCCCAAAAAAACAAGGGATAAATTGTTCGCTCTACTATTGTTCATGATGGGGCTTCCAGGAACGCTACAAATTGGCTAGCGTTTTTTTTGTATTATAATACATTTCCAGACTTTTGATTAAAAAAAAAATGTTTCACGAGGATTGTCCCGAGAAAATTTCCATGGTTAGATGATGGACTACCCTTGAGCTGGTGATCATGGCCTTCCTTCTTGGGATGCGTTCGATGCAGGAATCACAAACAGTTGAAAAACCAAACCTTGCTGGAACATTCCACGAAAATGCAAACCAATTGTCATGATTGCTGCCACCAGTTGGTTCATGTTGATTCATGGTTTCATAAGCATTACTAAAATTTGTTCATTGCTATTTAATTTTACAATTTGGTGAACGGAAGGTGGGCAGTAGCACCATTTCACCATATTTCACCATACCTCGACTTCAACTTCGCATTGCCTCAACCACACATTACACCATTTCATGAACCTCATGTCAAAGGACCTGAACCTCACACCACACCAACCTCACACTAGCTGAGCCCCATATTAAACTACTATACGCAAACCTCACACTACCTCGGCCTCGCAAAGTACAAACTTGACATATACACAAACTTCACGCTACCTCAGCCTCACACAACCTCCCACTGATGTTGCGCCAACCTCTCACCTCGCATTGCACAAACCTCACATTTCATCAACCCCGCATTCAATATGTGAACAGCACAGGGCCCGAACCTCACATTACATTGACGGCACATTGCCTGAGTTCCACAAGACGTGAACTTCATATTATACGTCGAATCACATTACATCAATTTCAACTTCACAATTGCCTCAACCTCATGTACCCCAACCCCACATTGTTTCACAATTCATGGTGTTTTGCAAATCGGCGCTGGCAGATCGCATTGGAGCTGCGTCACCAACGACGAAATTTGATAGTCTGCTGGAATTTGTGCGAAACACCGTGTTTTGTTGAGTACGTGTCAATGATCGTGAG